ACCTAAACAATGTCAGAATAAATCGTCAAAGAAAATGCCTAAATAAGGCATTTTTACACTTGATACAGTATCAAACATTGTGTTGAAATCATTAAACATAATTAAATGAGCAAATGACATTCAAAAAAACCACAAATATTAAAATTTATAATAAGTAAGAATGATCGCCGGGCCGGTCGACGCCCGCGCTCAGCTGATTGCGTTGCGAGTAGGGTTACCAGTTGAAAAAATTAAAAGTCCGGAGAAGAGGCCTGATTTCCATTTAAAAATCCTGAGATTGTTCTACAGTTTGAGAAGAAAACCTTACTTAAAAAGGTATCTTCACATATTAAGTATGATAAAACTGTTTAAGTACCTACTTGGATAAAGAAGTTTTGATTTTAATTGTGGAATTATTACCAAAAGAAAAATTATTTTTAGTTTGTTTAACTTTTTATTGAGAGATCTTTTAAAATGTAAGCTGTATTATATTGAAAGTTCTAAAAACCCTGAGATTTCATGAGATTTGCAAAATCCAGCCGCAATCCTGAGAAGAGTCTAAAAATCCTGAAATCTCACGACAAATCCTGAGATATGGTAACTCTAGTTGTGAGAGCCTACTAAACCATTCATCACTGTGCCTATTGCACCAGGGCGCCACTTTAAATGACTTTACATTAACTTTCATATACTTCTTTATTTTGCATAAAACCATTTGATGAACTATTTGATTCTTTTATTAATTTCTTTAAGAATTAATAAACATTCTTTAATAGACATTTAGGTAGTTTTTTTTACGAATACTGTTTGCTAGCAACTCTGCCTGCATCCAAGAGGCAACGCCTGAACGTCGCACATGCGGCGGCCCAAGGCCAAGCCAACGATATATTATAACGTCGACACAGGTGTCACCGTCATCAAAGGCGCCGCCTGCCCTTTTCGGTTTGCAGGCATCGATTTGGTGATAGATGTTTGCAGCACATGCAAATTAAATGAGTATTATTAACTATTTTTTTATTTAATGTAAGTTGTATTTAAAAAATGGATGCAGGTTAAAATAATTACAAATATTACAATAAAATATTTATAATGATTAAATACAAATTAACAGTAATTGAATAAAGATATTAAGGTATAATGGTTCAATAAAAATATTAAAATACAAATTTAAAAATTAGACTTACCTAGGTACTTGTCCGCGGATGGCGGTGAGTATCGCGCACATAGCGTTCAAAATAATCACCTCCACATTCTATGCATAGGTGACACCTAAAACTTAACTGTTCACCGACACGAGATAATACTTGATGATTCATTTTGATTTGGTCGAATGCCCAAATTATTTTTTCTTTCAACATGTCGCGGGTTTCGAATGCTCGACCAGTATACACTAATGTCTTTACATGCCCCCACAAATAAAAATCCATTGGTGTGATATCTGGCGATCTGGGAGGCCATGCACAAGGCCCGTCTCGACCGACCCAGCGACCAGGGTATTCTCTGTTTAAATAATTCTTAACTTGGCGAGCATAGTGTGCCGGCGCCCCGTCAAGTTGGTAATACATATTGCGTAGAGATGCAAGTGGTATGTCCTCTAACAACTCTGGCAGCGTGTCGGTGAGAAAACTATGATAGCTTTCACCGTTTAATCTTTCTATAAAGACCGGGCCCAGTAACGTTGTCTTAATGACGCCTGCCCACACATTGACACTAAACCGGTGTTGAAAGCTATGCGGTCTTGGTTCATGTGGATTTTCATAGCACCACAAGTGTTCATTGTGCGAATTAAATAGTCCTATTCTGCCAAATGTTGCTTCATCAGTCCATAAAATGTTGGCTCGTTCAGCAGCTAGTAACCAGTTACAAAATGTAACTCGCGCTGGTTTGTCAGCTTCGCTGAGTTCATGAACACGATGCAAGTGGAAAGGGTACTTCCCTTCATTGTGTATGACACTCCATGCGTAGTACTGTGACACATTGAACTGTCGGGCTGCCTCATAAGTGCTCGCTGCTGGATTTTGTTCAAAAAACTGCAGTATGTCTTCCTGCTCACGTACTGTGCGCCGCGGTGGACGACCACGATCGATTGATACAGGCTGGAATTGCCCGTAATCTCGCAATCGCTGTGTAGTACCTAGCATCGTAGCGTAGCTCGGTGCACGTGAGTTGTGAAATCGCCTTGAATATTCACGCCAGGCTTCACTAACGTTATCATTGCAAATTGCTAAAATTCGCACCATTTCGGTATACTCAATATTTGAGTATCGGTATGTCATTGTAACAACGCGTAACGTTCGCGATGTTAATCTCACAACGGAAGGAGAAAAGTCGCGGGCGCACAAAAGGCGACTGACCGACTGACGAAACAGATAATTAGGTCAAGTTCAAATGAGCAAGCGCCGCCTCCTACACCCCTCCACCCCTACCCCGCCACGCGCTTTATTTTGCTATTTAGGACTATTGCCGTTTAGAAGGTCCAATTAAAATATATTTATTTTTGTATGAAAATAAAAATTGAAGAAATATAATTTCTTTTCTTACAGATGTTGTTGTTATGATGTAAATAATATATTCCCAAAAGGTCTTCAGTAAATTAAAAATTACCCTGTATACAGTAATCTTGTACTCTGTGCAGCAGCGATGGTGCGTTGACGGTTTTTCCGTTAACGAAACGTTAACGCTGATTTACGTTTGTCAACTAGTTAATCAACTAGTTGAATTTGTCAACGAGTTAACGTACTACTAATGTCAACTTGTAACGTAAACCGTTAATTCGTTGGACGGTTTTAATTCAACGCTACAACGTTCAATTTTGAAAACAATTTAATTCAATGTATGTATTGGAAAATGTTTGATTAATGGTTCTACTTAGATGACCTTCCCTTTATACTTTTTCTTTAGGCTTAGGACTGATTGAATACAATTAGTTATAAACCATATTTTACTCAGGCGTATTTAAAAGATCGTCTGATTCTATGTGCGCAAATCAATAATTTACAATGTTTTTTATAGTTTTGTTTTTATTGATATTTTTTGGCTTTTTTTATTTTTTTCGAAATGCAGTCACAGTTCACTGTTACGCCAGGTCGTCCCAACATTTTTAATTTTGTACCTGGATTAGTCTTATTTTATTCAAATTTATACAAGTATATTAACACAAATTTACACTGTTACTATAAATATTAACTAAAAAGTCTAAACTCTAAACATTTACGCGCAACTTGTCACAAACTGTCAATCAAAAATTGAAGAAAGCAAACTTCATATCGTCCGTAAACGTAAATAAACAAACTAGAATTAACCTATTTCTCTCGGACGGCACGAGCGGGGCGCGCCATTTCACCAATATCGTCACAAGTATGTACTATTCTTAAAATAAATATTTCGAAAATAAACTCTTGATGGTTCCTTAGAGTTCAAATTGTATGACACATGACCATCGCTCGCAATCTATGACGTTATTTTCAACGTAAGTTTTTTAATTTGCTCAGTTCGTTGCGTTAACGAGACGCACGAGTTAAATTCATAAACGTCGTTGACGAATTCAACAAGTTGATTCATAAACGGTTAACGTTAATACGTTGACAGGACATCAACGGTTGATTCAACTGGTTCGTTGATTCAACGCTCATTACTACTGTGCAGTAATCTATGATTGTCAGCATAGTAATCTATGATCCCCTTTAAGGTTATGTGTGTTCTGAGTTTTGGCGGGAACTTGACTGGCGGCGGTTTGCTGCGCCTATATTATAGTTTAAATAATAGTTTGAAGTGGATTTTAATATGTAAAAGTGGTGCGATTTTATGTATTAACTTTCGACGCATGTGAACTATTAGTGGAAACGGTGAAACAAGTGCTCTGATGGTGATGGATTCTCAAGATAAGCTGTTTGTTTGCATAGGTGCCTTGAGATACCATCGCCAATTATCAGCTGTCTGCTGGCTCAAGTTGCCATCAAAATCTCCCAAGGGCTGCAGAATGTGACGCATCAAGATATTGTAAAGCAGTGAACTATGAAGGATAATTATTTATAATAAACCGAATAAAAATACTCAATTCTTGGCTTAAAGGTCTAGATACCAGGCCATAAACTCCTTAAAAAATATATGTGTTCTGTGTCTATGATCAGCGTTGCCACTTTAGTTATTTTCTCACTAGATTTAGTGAATTTAGATAGTGATATTCCGAAAAAGAAAATCACTAAAAGATTATTTGATGACTTTTAGTGATATTTATCAAATCTTGAAAAATTAACAAAATACATATTAGCAACCCTCTTTAACTGTCGGTAAATTCCCCAGTTTATGTCAAAATAGCACTATCCTTTTCTCACATTACAAACACGTAATTAGACATCTTTTTTTGGTTATGCTAAGCCTTCGTTAGACTTTTCTCGACTAATAATGCAGACCTAATACATATATTAAAATGAAATTGAAATTGGGTTCAGTGAGTGCTGAGTACTGAACGGTTAGGTAAAAACTTAATTGGAATCTGGGTAGATGCCTCTGTAATGACTGGAATCATTAATGGCGTACTCGTACCTAATTAAATTCTAGTAAGATGTGTTTGCCACTCATGCACTCATTCACACTGTTTCACACGTGTCAGAGCAAACGTTACCGCGAAATATAGAGTTTATCATTAGAGAAACTTATAATTCGTTTTCACATTCACCCAAGCGCTGTGATGAGTACAAAGATATATATGAGACAGTAAATTGTGGCGAGAAAACTTTAAAAATATTGCGCTCTTGTGATACCTACTCGTTGGCTGTCCGTTGCAGGAACTGTGACCAGGAGGCCGTCTCGATTTTATATGTTGTGTTTATTGTAATTATTTCCATAATTAAAATAGTATTTTTATTACATACCATGTGATTTGATTTTAAATAATTTGGTGAATTCTAGGGATTTTTTTAAGAAAAAATATCCCTAAATCTGGTGAAATTTCAGAACCTAACAAGTGATAAATTTTTCTGTAAGGTGGCAACACTGTCTATGATTGTCAGTCTACGATCATGGCGGCGGCTTTGCTGTCAAACAAGAAATTCGATAAATTAATTCGAAATCATGTTAAATTTACAAAAGCTTACAGTAATACGAAATCAGTTGTTCTAAATAAACCGCAATTCAAAATACTTTGTAAGCAATTTGCTGCAGCGAGTAATTTTAGGGTAGGACAAAAGAATTAGAATGATGCGGAAAGTTTTATATTATTTTTGAGTTCTTGCTACTCTTAATTATCAAAATTTTTTTAATTTTTGTTTTAGTACTATTCATCATCTTCACCAAACAGCCCTGCTGGTTCCGATACAGCGAAAAATGTCTTGGCTGCGGTGTTGGCTAACAAGCCAAAAACTGGAAAAATTCCAGTGGGTAAGTGTGCTAATGTAATAAACACATAACATCTTGTATGAACAATAACAATAACTGCCTTGTGATAGATTCTATTTCTCCAATGGGTTTGTCAAGTTGCGTAATCTGAACTTGACCTTGTAGTAGTGAATGGTATATTTATAATATTGTTAGCAATTAATTTTAGACACATGCTTCTTATTTTTGTATAAAACAGCGAGAGATGGTAATACTGATTATGTATTAAGAATGGGACGTGAAATGTTTTTAATTTATTTAGGGTATAATGTAGTCTGTTTTTTTTAGAAAGTATGAGGATATCCATACAATAACTGTTTGTTTTTTTATTTGTTTCTTTATTGCATGAACAAAATCCTTATCTTAATATTTTGTTATTATAAAGACAATATAAAATAAACTAATTAATAATTTTTAATTTTCTTTTGTGAATTTTAAAAACAGTTTATACATTGTATTATGACTGAAGCACAAACTGGTCAGCTTGATTGGGGACCATGCTTGTGCAGAATACCAGTATAAAATAGCAGCAAAATACAGAAACCAAAAAACAAGCAACAACATGTAGAAACGAAAGTACCACTCAAAACTATGAGTGTTTAGAGCATAAATAATTAATTTAGAATTCACAAAATGGTAGCCCAAATGTTCCTTTAGTCAGTACTGTAACAATAAGTATTTATTGTATTCCTGTCATTAAATAAATAATTTCCTTCAGTGAAATTAATTATTTACTGGCAACAGCTTATGAAGTTTTTATGGTGTAAATCAGGGATTCCTAAAGTGGTCGATATTGACCCCTTGGGGTCGACATCAGTTTCCCAGGGGTCGATAAAAAAGAAAACTGATTTTGGAGGTCAACAAGGTCTAAAAATTGACTCCTATTAATTAAGAAAGTTCTTATTTGAATCTCCCAAGATACTTTTTTTTATAGGATAGGGTGACAAATGAGCACACAGTCCACCTGATGGTAAGTGGTTACTGTGGCCCATAGACATCTATATCTATCCTCGTTTGTGAATCAAAATGTAGATGCATTGTCACCAGTTAGGACTAAGATGGAATGCCTCTTTACCAGTAAAATGTCTCAGGCTCTCTACATTCACCATACGAAACACTGCAGTGTTAAGCTGCTATTTTATGCTGGTATTCTGTGAGAGCATGGTCCTTCCCCTTACTGGATAAGTTGTGTTACTTGTACCGACTTGTTATAAGAATGGCTAATAATTTAGTAGGAAGTATAATTGTTGTACTTTTAAAAAAACTCAATAAGTCGAAAAGAATGCACAAGTTTGTACAAGCTGAAAAACTCAAAAACAACTGCAAAGTTTTTAAATTGGTAAGTATTTTGTATCAATAGAAAAAAAACTAGAGATAGGATTTGTTGGACTTACATGCTGTATAGTATAGTATTACTAATTTCATTTTCCTATTGCATAGTTAATATTTTTTTAATATCCCTTTTTATTTTTGTATTCTATTAATAAATAACACAATCTTTTGGGATTAAAAGAAATAAATGATCTTTTTGCCCTTTCTTTTGTTGCAATGTATCTTAGTAATTTAAATTGGCAAGATTTTTCGTCCTAGTTTTGATCTATTCACAGCTTGAACCATTTCACATCTGTGTTGTTAATACTTGGTTGGAATGCAGCTCTTCATCCCATCCGCACTCATCCCTGTTTGATTTGTCCGCTTTCATCCTTATCCTTCATTTTTATGTTACCTGTTTCCTATAAATATCCTGATATGATGACCCATCCTTAGGTATCCAAAAGAGAGACTGCTTTCACCCAGGTGCATCTGTTTTGTCTCGTGAAGATATACATCTGGGTGATGCGAAACCTGTATCTGGAATGGACATGATAAGAGGAATGATGGAATATGTCTGGCCAAAGGTGAGCAAAATACTTATTTTTTTTATTATTTATTTTATGCAACCGTATTAGCATATAGGATAAGTGCTTGTTATAAATTTCATAATACAGGTTCTATCCCAGCTGGCAACAATGAAATTGTTGATTATATGACTAAACGCAACTTTTTGGTAATTTGCAACCACCACTGTTTTTCTTAACTGTTTACCAAAGGGACTTGTAAAACTTGACAAAAAAGGAAGTGTAATCTTTTCTTTAAGATGAGCAACACACTTGCTATTAGTTTGGTGTTTAGGATGTTTTAGTGAGGCGTTTGTAGTATTCCGGAACTAATTAACAAATCAATGCGGCGGTGACAGCACCCTCTCACATTCACTTCTATGTGGAACGCCAGTGCGAGCGGATGTTGTATACTAGCCGTCTCGATTTCTATATATTAAATGTTTTATTGGTGCTCCCTTAATTGTACTAACACATGTGAACAACACAGCGTTAATCATTCACTTATAAACAGGTGAACACATGCTCAATGATCCCCTTCCATCTAGACATGGGACGAGTACTTGGTTTGGATTTGGTACTCGGCAGATTCGGCCGAGCACCGAGTATTAACGGCCGAGTACCGAGTACTCGGTCTTAATTATATTCCAGAGAAAAATAAAGACAAAAAGCCAGTTTTTATCATTATTATTATATGTCTAATATTTAAACATCAGGAACATGAGAAGCAGCAGAAATATTTAGAACGTACATAAGAATCTATAATTTAAGAGCGGAAGATTATTATGCAGAAACATTAGTTTTTCGGTCTTATTTGGGTCTTGTTTGTATGGGAAATAACCGCACGCCACCCGCTACCGCGTTTTTATTAAAGCCGAGTATTCGGCAGAGTACTCGGCCCAATCTAGGTCGAGTACCCATTGGCCGAGTACTCAGCGAATCACTATTCCTTCCATAAAAAAAATCTTACAGTTTTAAATTTGCCAATCAACTATTTTCTGCCGACTTCCAAAAAGGAGACGGTACTCAATTCAACTGTTTTTTTGTGTGTTACCTCATAACTTTTTACTGTGGGAACCGATTTCGATGATTCTTTTTTCATTTGAAAGCTGGTACTTCTCGTGTAGTCCCATTCCATTTAAAAGTTTTAGAAAGTTTGGTACAGTAGAAAGATTTTTCTTGCATTATTTAAAGTTTACAAAAATATTTAATTAAAAATTAAAAAATTTACACATAAATTTACGCTTCGTGGGCTTGTAACGCTTCATCATCATCATCATCGCTACTGCCTCTTACGAGTCCACCGCTGAACATAGGCTTCCCCCAAGCAAAGCCACAAGCATGGTCCTGAGCCACTTGCAAACATTGACTAATTGACTCCTGCATATCTTACCAGGTCCGTCATCTATCTACTGGGGGCCGCCCTACATTTCGCTTACCGATACTTGTTATGCTTGCTCGAATAAAGCAGTAAAAAATTCCAGGACAACTCAATGATCCGCAACCGGGTGATGCTGTCCCTCTCGCTCTTGTTCGGCGCCAAGGTGATGAACGTGTGTGTCCCGTTCCTGTTCAAGTACGCGGTGGACGAGGTGAACCAGGTCTCGGCCACGTCTACCGGGGACGTGCTGCTGGGTATGGCGACCGTGCCGCAAGCTCTTGGCACCACCGCATTCAGTTTACTGGTCGGATGTGAGTCACTGTTTTATTTTTATTTTAGTTATTTAAATATCTTTATTGCACTAAAATGTTAAATTGGCATACTTTATGTCAAACCATGAGATCAGCAGACCATGTGCCATATAAACTTGAAAATATATAATTTACATAAGGAAGGTGGAGGGTTAGGTTTTCAGGTAGTTTAATAAATGAGAATTAAAGAGTTTCACAGAATAGTAGATTTATTATAATGTGGCGTTAATTACAAAGCTTAGATTGCCACGGCTAGGTCTGGGTTACAGGCCGACGTCTCACTCGCACTGAGGTTTACATTTACGCGACGTCCTGCGTGAGCGATCTAGACGCGAACGCGAAGCGGCGCGGCGCGGCGCGATAACAACAAACAGTCGAAACCTATTGAAGTGGCCTACGTGACCAAACGCACGTGGGGTGCGGTGCGGAGCGGCGCGAAATGAAGCGAACGCGATCAGTTGGCTTGATATTTTCGCGCGAACTGGATGCGGTGTCGTCGTGTTTTTGTTTGGATAATGTCAGAAAATTTTATTAATGCTATCCAAGAACGTCCTATATTATGGGATAAAAGGAATAAAAATTATCACAACCGGTTATTATCGTACCGTGAATGGGAGGATTTGGCCAAATTAACTGGGACTACTTCTTACTGCTAATGATACATAATAATAAATGTAAGAAATGTTTCTTTTTCTTACCTTAAAGTCACCATCAATCATTCTTCTACAGAAATAGGTCGCTGGAAATTGGTACTAGTGAATTGCAAAACAGGTTTTATGGCTTGCACAATATAGTCAAACGTTGTAGGCAACTTTCGACAATATTCCTTGAATAACAAAGGCTGAGCCCGTAATTCCTCATACAAATTGTGAAATTCCCCATAAAAATGCCTTTCTAAGTATACAATATTAGTCCCACTTCTTCGCCGTACATACTTCTTGAGTATTTGATACTTAAGAAATGAATTTTCCAATAATATTTGTTTCCGTCCGTCCATGACAAATGCACAGTGCCCGCTGAACGGCGACGTCGTCGGTGGCGGCTGTGCGAGACGATTCGCGTGCACGTAGGACATAGCCGCCGCGTCGCACCGCATCGCATTTTTTTTTTTTTTTTTTTTATAGGAGAGGGGGCAAACGAGCATGCGGCTCACCTGATGGTAAGTGACTACCGCCGCCCATAATTGAATTCGCGTGTACTCGCGTTCGCTTTGAACCGCCCACCTAGGACGCCGTGTTATAGTATGCGGTTGGTAGCGGAGGTAGGTAGTCTGTCCTGAGTGATGGTAGTCTTTGATGGTCAGTTCGGTCTGGATGGTCTAGGCCGTGTTGCGTGGTACGGCTGTTCTAGTCCTATATGGGTAGGAAGGCAATTTTGATCTCTAATGTACGGCTATAAGAGGCACAACACAATTTATTCTAAAATTATCATATTGTAGCTTGCCGTAGACAGGGTCCCATTTCTATCACTTGGGGTTTCAAAAGTGCTCTATAAATGCCTCCCCATAATTTTACTGAACTCCCACGATAATGCTCTCTTCCAACAATGTTAAAGGTTGAGCGCATTTTCTCCTGTAAGGAAACTAGGTCACTTCTATAATCTTGTTTCAAACAAAACCAAAACTTAGTGAGTTGGTCAACGGACACTCCACTTTCTCTTACTATGAATTATTCAGAAACGGTCACTTCTATTATTATTCCATACGAGAGAAAAGGATGGAGATAGTCGCTTGCTGTCGTAATTCAACTCTGAAAAGATCATAGTGCTTATATAATTTAGCCTTGACACGTGTGGGTTGTTTAAAAAACTCTTTGTTTCCAGACGGCATAGCTCGAGCCACAGCTGCAGGTTTCAACGAGCTACGTAACGCAGTATTCGCTAAGGTGGCACAGCACTCTATACGACGTCTGGCCTGTAATGTCTTCATGCATTTACACAACTTGGACCTCAGCTTCCATTTGGGCAGACAGACTGGAGCCTTGTCGAAGGTATGGTAAGAACTCAATGATATTATAAGCTTAAGGCAGGCCTCTGTTACTATTGCTACCTGCGTGATATAATTATCTACTATCGCGAGGCGCCCCCAGAGTAGAACGCAGTCGGAACTAGCGCGTTCTAGGAGATTGAATTTTAAAGTTTTTTTAACACTGTTTACGTAAATAGTTTTTTGTAAATACTTGTTGAAATATTCGTCGAAATAGTTTTTTTCTAGTGTTTAGTATATTTAATTGTAGGATAAATTAGTTGAAAAAGTTTTAATGTAATTTAAGATTAATGTAATGAGCAAACAAAAGGATTCAGATATATTATTTTTTAAGTTACCGAAGGATAATGAAAGGTGAATTTACTTTAGCAAAAAAATTTGGTACTTATAGCAAAAAAAGAATTAAGTAATAATTTAACTAGAGAAGTAATACCTTATTGCTTTATTACAACCACTACTATTAAAAACACTACCCAAGTACCTAATAACATATCTATACTTGTCTTTTATAATTAAAATATTTTAAGTCATAATAACACAAAAAATACTGAAATTAGAACTTTATTTACAGAATATTTAACTAAGTAGAATACAATCACATTTCTGTTAGGAATCTTATTTCGGGTTTATTTGTTGTTTATACTATCTACATATTTCTTCCGAGCCAAGCATCGCAATTCCTGACGGTCTTGCAAGTTGCAAGCGTTGGGTGTCACAGAACTACTCACATAGTAACGGAAATATGGTCGAGCATATCTTACTTACAATTTCATGATATATTTTTTACTCTTTATTAACAGCCCTTAGCAACCACGGAAAGTCCGTTGTGACGTAGGAAGGAGAAAAGATGCAAAGTAATACGAACACCTTCGCGCAGCGATAAAGTTTTATTTAGTATGCATGCGCGATTTATTTCATAAAAAAAATAACCTCCATAACAATCATTCATTCATTCGTTCATTACAGCCTATCAAGTCCACCGCGGATGTTCGGCATTTGCCACTAAACTTTGAAAAGTATGCTAAATTCATAGTTGAGGGAAAACAGGAAAAAGTATGCTAAATTCATAGGCGGGTTCTGCGGGTTCTCAATTGCAGTTTTTATTATTAGAAAGACGATGCTGCCAAACACCTGAGCTCCCCCCCCCTCTCTCGCCTTTTGTGGATATACATACACCACTAACAAAGATCAAATGTACTAAAATGAAGTGAAGATGAACTAAGAGGACAGTTGGGTACAGGTTCTTTTTCCCATTAAACGTCTCTTCCCACTACACCGTACTATACCATAACCGTGCTAGGAACGTGTCAGGCAAATAAATATTATTTGTATTGAAAAGTATGACACTGTTCCCACTAGACCGTTCCGTCACCGACCAACACCGTCGCGTGCCATGCACGGAGTGTCAACAAATGTCGGCGAGAATATTTTGCCGGTGCGAGCTGGCGAGTATACAGGTTGTAAACGCGTATGATGACCGTTATATAGGCCTTGTAAGCGCGTTGCCGTAACTTAGTAATTTGTTGTCAGTTAACGAGATGTAAAGATGTAGTAAAATAGAGGATGAAAAATTAATAGAATGTGTACGTAAATATGACTTTTTATGTAATCTTCAACACCCGAAATATATGGATAGTGTGAAAAAAGAATTGGCTTGGAAGGAAATTTCGCAACAACTAAAACAACCATGTTTGTTTATTAAATTATTGTTTATTTGAAGTAATTTAATACATGGGTTAGTTAACCTGTTTGTTAGTTTATTTTTTAGATAGATAGTAGTTAAGACATTTTATTTTAGCATAGTCTAGTTTATAAAATGTAATATTAACATTGTAGTAATGAAACGGATTCCTATTTGTTTTGGTGGATGTTGCATACGGGTATCATACGGGTTACATACGGGTTGCATACTGGCATCATACGGGATGTATATGGGCACAGAACGCCGTCGATCCGTTCAGTGGGCATAGTAGAGCGTATCGTGTTGCTTTTCGTGCCTGATACGCTCCTAGCACGGTCATGGTATTATACTGTGTAGTGGGCAGACACCTTTATGAGGTTTATGGCGCAAGGAAAAAGCTGCAGATCTATTAAAATGTATTTCATCATCATGATTAGTCTGAAACAGGAAATGGGCAGCAGCAACTTCCTGATAAGAACTCAAAATTGTAAAAACTGGGGTTGCTTTATATAAATTTAAAAAAAGCTGACTTTACACATGCAGATCTATTAAAATTTTGTGAACACGATTATTGGCGTTTGCGATGGTCCTGCAAAAAGTTTGGCTTATTATTGTGTCTTTTCTTGCAGACGATAGACCGAGGTTCCCGCGCAATCAATTTCGTGCTATCAGCCATGGTGTTTAATATCGTGCCCACCATATTCGAATTAGCTCTAGTCTCATCAATACTCGGCCTCAAGGGAGGACTCGCTTTCGCCGGTAAGGATTTATTTATTTATTCAAACTTTGAACAGACAAATACTCACAGAATAGCAGCGTAAAAAAGCAGGTCAATGGCTTGTGATGCAATTTCGTATGGTGTTGTATTTCACTTAGTGATAAAATACATAAAAGCCATGCCCAAAGTTATTACAAATCAATCAAAAAACTAAATAATAAAATACTTAAACACGATTTTCTATTCGTGGTAGAGCCATGCTGCAGCTATATTAATAGTATAGTTGTAGCACGAATGGTTATAGCAATATAGTATAGTTATAGCTAGACCAGGGAAGGACCACACTCTCAGAATACCAGCGTAAAATAGCAGCTTAATGCTGCTGTGTTTCATAAAGTGGGTGTAGAGAACCGGAGACCCCTTTTTACTGGAAAGGAGGCGATCTATCTTAGTCCTCACGGCTGACAACGCATCTGCATTCTAATTCGCAAACGAAGGTAGACGTAGATGTCTATGGGCCACAGCAACCACTTACCATCAAATAGACTGTGAGCTCGTTTGTCACCCTTATTCTATAAAAAAAGAAAACTTAAATGATTCTAGTGTACCCAAGGCTTTCCTCGAGGCCGTAAAGAACAATGGCAGACTTTCATACATAAAATTAGTTTAGGTAGTGTCTATATATCAAAAACATCTTAAAATGTTAAGCGTCAGTCCTGAATAACTTTGTCAAAGAATTTTGTCCTGAGAAGGCGTCAAAAGAAGATATTTAGTTAACCTTTTTAGGTTATGTCCTATGTCACTTTGAAAAAGTCATGCGTCCTGTGGTTGTTTGATGTTAGCTTAATACATTCTCAACATAATGTACCTACCTACATGATTGAGAGTTTTTAGATTATTGTATCTTTATTACGAGGGCGGCACTGAAAATTTCGGGAATCAAGGAAGTGTCACAACATTACTATTTAAAAATGTATTCTTTGCTTTTCGAAGTATTCTCCGCAAAATTTGACACATTTTTCCATACGATGGAACCAATCATTGAAGCAACATATGGTATTTACAACAAAAGTTAAGCCATATATAGCCAAACACTCAAACGTTACTCAATGATGATTGATTACTCAAAGATGTCATTAGGTCTCGTGGTGTCACAGTCACTTTGACTTAAAGTGAAAGAGACAGCACGTGACTTAACGGCATCTTAAATTCTTTATTGTAACACCTCACAACTAAGGTAACAATAGGCGTACTTAATACATGCCGGCATTCTCTGCCAGTCAATTTGTGAGGTATTGTCGCAGCTGTAAATTGTATCATCATCATCATCATTACAGCCCTTCACAAGTCCACTGCTGAACATAGGCCTCCCCCAAAGAATGCCACAAAGCACGGTCCTGAGCCACCTGCATCCATCGACTTCCTGCATGTCTTACCAGGTCGTCACTCCATCTCGTGGGGGGACGCCCTACACTTCGCCTACCGGTACGAGGCTGCCACTCGAGAACCTTTCTTCCCCATCGGTTGTCGGTTCTTCGAGCTATATGGCCGGCCCACTGCCACTTCAGCTTACTAATTCGTTGGGCTATGTCGGTTATTCTGGTTCTACTGCGGATATCCTCATTCCTAAGTTTATCACGCAGAGAAACTCCGAGCATAGCCCTCTCCATAGCTCGCTGAGCGACCTTGAGCTTCCTCCTACGGCCAGCAGTGAAGGACCACGTCTCAGTTCCGTAAGTTATCACTGGCAACACGCACTGGTTGTACAATTTCGTTTTAAGGTTTTGAGGTATGTCTGACGAGAAGATGTGTCGTAGCTTCCCGAACGCTGCCCAGCCGAGTTGAATCCGTCGATTGACCTCTCAGTCGAAGTTGGACTTACCTAGTCGGACTATTTGTCCCAGGTAAACATACTCGTCAACAACTTCGAGCTTAGTGCTCCCAACAACTACCGGCATAGGTGTGACATGGACATTAAACATAATCTTTGTTTTGTCCATGTTCATCTTAAGACCTATCCGTTGGGAAACACTATTGAGGTCATTGAGCATAGTGCTTAGGCCCTCCAGCGATTCTGCCATAAGGACTATATCGTCGGCAAATCGAAGGTGAGTGATGTACTCGCCATTGATGTTGATACCGTACCCTTTCCAGTCCAGAAGCTTGAAAACGTCTTCCAATGCAGCGGTGAAGAGTTTCGGGGATATGACGTCACCCTGTCTTACACCTCTCTGCAATTGGATAGGTTTCGTACTCTGGTTCTGTACTCGGATAGCCATCGTAGCCCTACTGTACAAGCACTTCAACACTTCGATATACCGACAGTCAACTTGGCACCGCTGAAGGGACTGCAGCACCGCCCAAATTTCGACGGAATCAAAGGCTTTCTCATAGTCCACATACGCCAGACATAGTGGCAAATTGTACTCTTCGGACTTCTGTACAACTTGCCGAAGGGTATGTATGTGGTCTATGGTGCTAAAGCCCTTTCGGAAACCGGCTTGTTCGGGAGGCTGGAAGTCGTCAAGTCTGCGCGCGAGACGATTCGTAATGACTCTCGAAAACAGCACGTAGACGCGGCTCAGAAGGGAAATCGGTCTGTAGTTCTTCAAGAGAGCGTTGTCACCTTTCTTGAAAAACAAGACCACCGCACTTCTGCTCCACGCCTCCGGTGTAATGCCACCATGGAGGACGGAATTAAAGAGCTTCTGAAGGACTTCAAGTACCGGTCTTCCACCCGCTTTCAGAAGCTCCGCTGTAATTCCATCCTCGCCTGGGGCCTTACCGTTTTTAAGGTGCTGGAGAGCCATTCTAATCTCGCTCAGACTGACGTCCGGGATATCTTCGGAATAGTGTCGGATGAGACTCGCTCTTGGATCGTTACTCACACTTGCGTGTGGCTCCAACGATGACGTGTACAGCTGCCCATAGAACCTCTCAATCTCACTCAAAATCTCAGGTGTCCCGGAAACGATGCTGCCACATTCTGTCTTCAGCTTTGACAGTTGGCTCTTTCTGGCAGACAGATCTCTGGCAAAGACTTTGGAGCCTTGGTTCCGCTCGATCGCTTCTTCAATACGAGCTGTATTGAAGTTGCGTAAGTCCCGCCGCATGCATTTTGAGATCTGTCTGTTCAGATGCCTGTATGCTGTCAAGTCTGTTGAAGAATGTAGCTTCATCTCCCGTCTAACAGCCATGAGATTAAGAGTGTGATCGGAGAGTTTTTGTGTTCTTCTGCGGCGGGTCTTGCAGAACTTAGCTCCGACCGCATGGACAGTTTCCACGAGCTTGTCATTCATATCGTCCACTTCATTGCAGTCTTCTAGGCACTGAAAACGGTTTTGTAACTCGAGCTGAAAGGTTTCGGGACTTTGAATTAGAGCACGAGGGGGACGGAGCGTTGACTTCATTAGACGAGACCTCTCCAACTTAACGTTTAGGTTCAGTGTGCCTCTAACCATTCGGTGATCGCTACCAGTTTTCACCCTTGCGATCACGGAGACATCACTGAACAGTTGTCGTCTGGTCGTCATAATGAAGTCAATCTCATTTTTTGTCGAACCGTCGGGGCTCGACCAGGTCCACTTCCTGTGGGGCCGCTTGTGGAAGAAAGAGTTCATCATAAAGAGTCCCTCTTTCTCCATGAAGTCGGCCAGCTGCTGGCCCCTTGGGTTCCGTTGCCCTATTCCAAATTTCCCTACTTTCAGCTCACCGTTCTCTCTTGTGCCTAGTTTTGCATTGAAGTCTCCCATTAACACCGTATATTGGGTTTTGGAGGAATGCATGGCTCTAGAGATATCCTCATACATTTCCTCCACCTCCTGATCGGGGTGTGCCGAGGTTGGTGCGTAAACCTGTATGACCTTCAGCGAATACCGTTTGGTGATTCTGAGTATAAGGTACGCAACCCTCGTCGACACACTCCCGATCTTTACAACGTTGTTAACGAGAGACTTGTGGACGATAAATCCGACACCTCCTTGGGACAGATGGTCGCCCTCCCGGTGATAGAGCAAGTTGCCGGATTCGAGGATTACCGTGTCCTCCCCCTCTCTTCGGACTTCGGATAATCCTATAATATGCCAGCGCAACTTGTCTATCTCTTCTTCCAGCTCCACGATCTTCTCGTCAGTCCTCAGGGTGCGTGCGTTGTATGTTGCCAGGTCGAGTCGTCTAAGGTGGCAACCGAACCTCCACCGGAGATTCTTAGCACCCCCTGCCCCGCCGTTACCATGGTCGCCACCGTAGCCAGGAATAGCGGGGCCGCCGGGGACTGGGGGCCGTCTGTTTGTTGCTTTAGTCATTTGGGGGGTATTTGCCATAGTTGCCACGCTTGGCGAGCGGGTTGGCAACCGCAGTTTTTTTATTATAATTTTGGCTATTATCAGGAAGATGCTGCTGCCCATCTTCTGCCTGTTTCCCTTTGTCGCCTTTTACGACACCCACGGGAGGATATGGGGTAGTGGATATTCTTGACCGCCACTACACGGCAAATTGTATTGTATATTTGGACATTAATCTAATATGTAACGTGATGAAACTTGTCGCTTGACGTGCCGCGGTAACTGTGGCGAGTGTGCAGGCGTGGCGGGCGGCTGCGTGTGCGTGTACGCGGCCTACACGCTGGCCGTGACGGCGTGGCGCACGCAGTTCCGCGTGCACATGAACCGCGCCGAGAACGAGGCCGGCAACAAGGCCGTCGACTCGCTCATCAACTACGAGACCGTCAAGGTGCGCTCACACGCACACTCCTCACTCATACTCACTCACCACTCACAGACTCACACCCACTCACCACTGCCTTTTGGAACGAAGTTCTTTATCGGACGGTACGGGTTTGGCGGATGGGCGCTAGGCGACAAACATTTTAAGATTTTTCCGTCACGACCATTCTAACGGAGTATAGACGGCCTTGGCGGCTATAAGGAAGCGAGATAGAATATTATCCATCTCCCTCGCACTTTTTCTTATCTTGCCATAAAAAAATAATTATTTTATTTTAAATGACGCTTCATTTTAATAGACGCTAGTAATCCATTTATTTGTATTTGTTAAAAATATAATATACTACTTTTATCAATAATAATATATTACGAAAAGAACGTTCCAACCGAGTGTTCCACGACACTCACGCATGATTTTAAAAAATAAAATTGAAGTGACAAACAAACCTACAATGCACCAGATTGTAAACGGCTATTGCAGTTTATGAACACCTGATGTCAGCTTCATACAAAAAACATTCACTTCATACACAGATGCATTGTTACACCTGAGGACTAAAATTCAATACTGTCTCACACCATGTAATTGCACTGGCTCTCTAAACCATTCAAACTGGAACATAGCAGTGCATGCACTAATATTTGGCGACAAGAATAGGGTAAAGAAAACCTACCATGATGAACTCCTAGGCAAAAACGGAGTTGTGACACCTAGAGAAACAGACTGTTTGAGCATTCCCCATAATGACTTTCTGCCAACAGGGCGACGCCACTAAAAAATGAGCTGTAATATTTGACAGATTTCATAGCGGGGAAGTTAATTTGGTCGGTAAATGTAAAGGTTGATGTTTATTTCTGTACTATTTGTTATATTTCATATTAATTAGATTAAAAACAAATTAACCAAACCACAGATATTCATAAAAGTAAAAAAGTAAAAAAAAAAGAGTTAAAAATGTAAAGAGCAAACCACTGAAACATTCTTTTGTGTATTAATATAATACTCTTGATACCGATAAACTTTTATTTAAAACTAACTTCTCAATTAAATGAAATTGTGTAACAAAGACAACTTCACCTCAGTGTCAACTAGCGACATCTGGTGAGTGGAAGATTATTAGCCCTCATTGCCATTGGTTCGGAAAATATCGCTGTCCTAAAAATAACCAACACGTAATGCAGCGGGACTTTTTTTTTAAAGGGCAATTACGTGTACTATGAGATAATTATGTATTAAGTGTTGCAATTGGTTATACAAATTGTTTTGAAAAAGCTAAAAGAGATGTTTCATTAATAGGATCTGGCCACCCAATTTGTTAAGGATATCAAAAAATTGTATAAATAATGACGAATTCAACGGTATTCTTATTTTTTTCTACCTTTAAAATGACTGAAATATTGATGAGTAAAGTGGTGTTTTACGGTAAGGGCGACCGACCGCTTTGCTCCGCATCGCGATGTGACGTCACAAACCGACACGTCGAAGCCACCAGTAGTCTTTATTGTTATATTTTTCTTATTCTCTTCATATTTGTTACTCCATATTTTTCTTGTCATGTTATTTATTTATCAGTAACCTTTATTTTCTGCTTTGTTTTTTAATTTCTGTTATATCACGTTCCGTGGGAATAAAAGCCCGATATTAGAAGATCAAATCCTGTAGATCAAGTTACACCTTAATGCAAAATTTCATCAAAATCAGTTTAGTATATATATATCTAATATGTTTGCGACCATTGCATTTTCAAAACAGAATAGGTACCAACTACCAACGTAATACCGCAATCAGTCTATTCAAAAGTAAGTCAAAGTAATCCCCTCCTATAACTAGATGTTTGCTCTATATTGTGTGGTCTACAATTCATGTATTTAGTTGCTTTGTTTTTATCCACATTTTCATCTAATAACCTCTAACTCCTTTCCCCCCGAAATGCCTCAAGACAAGGTGTGACAGACCAAAGACCGGACATTGGCAGAATTATTGTGACATTTTTTTTTATAGAATTAGAAGACAAACGAGCACACAGTCCACCTGATGGTAAGTAGTCGCTGTGGCCCATAGACATCTACATCTATCCTCGATTACGAATCAAAATGCAGATACGTTGTCACCCGTGAGGACTAAGATGGAATGCCTCGTTTCCAGTAAAATGGGTCTCCGGTTTTCTACACTCATCATACGAAACACAGCAGCATTAAGCTGCTATTTTACGTTGGTATTCTGTGACAGCGTGGTTCTCCCCCGGTCGAGCCGACCCATTCGTGCTACATCTATACTATTCATATAGCTGCAGCATGGCTCTACGACGGAAAAACCACAATACCATGGGCCATATTGATAAAAAAAAGTCAAAGTAAAACTAGTCCATACCTAAACATACCATATCTTTGCAAACACTGACGAACTACGTAACCAACAAAATTTCTTCACATGTCACTTGGTACTAAATAACAGTACGAGTTGATTAATACTCACTGCGTTAGTAAGTTTAAGTAAGTTTTTTCATTTTATGTCGTTATAAATCTTGTGCAACTTCGTGGTTTGGTCAGTTAATACCTACCTATGTATTACTGCCTAATTACTAATCAGTGGTAAAGTTGTATACTTTTCGTAATATTTTATTAGTAATTTACCTTTAGAGCTTTATTCCACGCATTTCTTATGATAAAAAATCATAATTTTCTGAAAAATACTCCGCAACCATAAAAATATCCACTTTTGGCAGATTATCTGACTCTTTTTTCAAAGCCAGCTTCCATTTTCTTTTCTTTTTACAGCACTACACACCGTGACTATACATATAAATATAATCATTTTAAACTCTAAATGTTTAATACTTTAGTTTATAAATCAAATCAAATAGTTTATTTGTGATTCACAGTTTACAAAGAGGTATTATTTAAACACAAATAAAGTTCAGTCTGTGATCACTGATCACCTTCATGGGCATACAAATGTCAAATATTATTAATAGTTCATTGATTACATTATTCATAATAATAGATTAGATCATTAGATTAAATTATTCATCTTAAATAATATTGATTCATCATCATCATCATCATTACAGCCCTTCACAAGTCCACTGCTGAACATAGGCCTCCCCCAAAGAATGCCACAAAACACTAAATAATATTGATTACTTATTACTAACCGTGTAGTGGCGGTTAAGGCGCAGGTTGAGCAAAATGTCGCGCTAGTCGTTATTTGGGCGGTTTTTAGGAGCTATCTACTTTTTATTTAAAAGATATATCAACAAATAAAAAACACATTATATTTCTACATAATCTTGATTCCATAAAAGCTATATCCATTTTTTTTTTAAAGGAATAAATATTAATATAATCTCCTTACAACGAAACCACATAAATGTGAAATTATTATTGATAACATGCATCTCCTCGTAAAGTAAGTATTATTTTATTTTGCGATTTACACCAATGGATAGGCAATTTATTAATAAACATTTCTATAGTAAATTTTTTTTCAAAAGACCAAAATTTGATTTTATTAAGAAATTATTTTAAAATCTGGGCATATTTACTGCTCACGGGCTTGCTAAGTCAGTGAGCGCTGAGCTCTTCGACGAGAAGCCCGTGTCGTTAGAGCGTCGACCAACGCATACGCCACGTCATATGAGTCGATAATATTATTACTTATTAGGTTATTTATAGGTAGTATTATTTGTTTGTTTTGGGTATAATTTTTCGTATTAGTTATACATATATTTGTTGTGTTTTTTACTGCGCGATGAAGATTTTTGCGTGTATTTTCTTTGAAGTAAATGCAAATAAAAAAATGAAGCACCATTATGAAGCAGCATGTAAGGTTCGAATCCATAATTAAAATTTCGACAAATATTATAATTTACACTATAAAAGGCTAATTCAATATTATCACCCAACCACAATATCTTATCAGGAATAGTACTGCCTCGTTGGTCTGGTTGTAGTAGTGCGACTGCTGATCATGAGGTCCCGGGTTCGAATCCTGGGTCGGGCCAAAAAGTCAGTTATGAGTTTTTCATTTATGTTCTAAGTTATAATTAGTATTACTAAGTTATAGTTTTTTGCTAAAATATAGTATATTATTTATTGTTTGTTTTTTCTTCTTTTTCAAAAAATAATTGAGTACATAAGGTGTTCTATACTTATAACTCGGTAAAAAGTACTAATATACCTACTTTTTACTATAAACTAAAAATTTTTAAAACTAAATTTAACTAAAAAGACTAAACTGACCATTTATTTTTTAACTCATAACAGGACATGGGTTTATTTATACTCTAAAAACTATAACTTTATCCAATTAGTGTTCACTATAAAATTATATTCGGTATAGACGGTAAGTATTAAATGCAACATATTTTTTTTTAATTATTAATTACATTTGTCAGTGGATTAAATTTGCTTTAATAAAGTTGGTGATGATTTTAAATAAGAATAAAATTCTGCTCAAGTTTTTTATTGTTATCTTTGTTAACAACATCGCCTTTAGAACTCTGGAACCGTAAGTGTTTCTTTCAGACGTCCACAATTTATGCAAAATAAAAAAATACTCTTTCTACCGGAGCATTCGTACCAGGTAGACATAAAATATATTCGATTAAAAAAAAATTATGTTGAAGATTGTTGACTTTGAATACTTCCATCCAACGAGTTACGGGACAATTTTGTGTCCCGGAGCTTTGTTTGGGGACAATGGGACAGGAGACCGAGAAAAGGGACAGTCCCGTTCAAAACGGGACGTATGGTCACTTTAGCTATAACCCGGCGACCATGAAGCAAATACAAAGTTAGTCTTTGTATTAGCTTCATGGTGGCGCAGTGGCTTAGCAATCAGTTGTTGCGCTGGGGGCCGCGGGTTCGAATCCCGCATGGAACAAGATTTGTATGGCCTACAAATAATTGTTCCGGGTCTGGATGTTTGTCTTTGTGCAATTTATGTTTGTAAACTGCCTCCACGACACAGGAGAAAATCCTAGTGTGGGTGTAACGTTTTTTTACAACTGAAATTGAAAGATTGAACCCTTATACTTCTTGTTGATTTTTGTATTTATATATTTTTTATTGCACCAAATATTTGTACAAAAGCCGAGTTATCTATTTATTTACCTATAGTGAATAGGTATCTTTTAAACTCACAATTTTCAATGCTTCCGTTTTAATATATAATTAATTATAAAATTTCATAATTAGATAATATATGAAAATACATAATTCTAATATAATGCAACTAATATATACAGAATAAAAAAATTAAAATACATTTATCTTTGTACGCTATGTGTATTTCCATAAAATAGTTTCTTGATGTTGAAAAAATAATACTACTTTCGTACAATAGGTGGCGTCTTACATATTTCTTCCGGCGAGTCGCTCGCTACAATATATAGCGAACGGCGCGCCGGTCAAATGCTCAAGGTCGTTCGCATGGAGTAGCCCCTTAAGAATATCCACTACCCCATATCTTCCCGTGGGTGTCGTAAAAGGCGACAAAGGGAAACAGACAGGAGATGGGCAGCAGCATCTTCCTGATATTAGTCAAAATAACAATAAAAAACTGCGGTTGCCAACCCGCTCACCAAGCGTGGCAACTATGGCAATATACCCCCCATGAGCAATGACAATAATAAACGGCCCCCAGTCCCCGGCGGCCCCGCTATTCCTGGCTACGGTGGCGACCATGGTAACGGCGGGGCAGGGGGTGCTAAGAATCTCCGGTGGAGGTTCGGTTGCCACCTACGACGACTCGACCTGGCAACATACAACGCACGCACCCTGAGGACTGACGAGAAGATTGTGGAGCTGGAAGAAGAGATAGACAAGTTACGCTGGCATATTATAGGATTATCCGAAGTCCGAAGAGAGGGGGAGGACACGGTAATCCTCGAATCCGGCAACTTGCTCTATTACCGGGAGGGCGACCATCTGTCCCAAGGAGGTGTCGGATTTATCGTCCACAAGTCTCTCGTTAACAACGTTGTAAAGATTGAGAGTGTGTCGACGAGGGTTGTGTACCTTATACTCAGAATCACCAAACGGTATTCGCTGAAGGTCATACAGGTTTACGCACCAACCTCGGCACACCCCGATCAGGAGGTGGAGGAAATGTATGAGGATATCTCTAGAGCCATGCATTCCTCCAAAACCCAATATACGGTGTTAATGGGAGACTTCAATGCAAAACTAGGCACAAGAGAGAACGGTGAGCTGAAAGTAGGGAAATTTGGAATAGGGCAACGGAACCCAAGGGGCCAGCAGTTGGCTGACTTCATGGAGAAAGAGGGACTCTTTATGATGAACTCTTTCTTCCAGAAGCGGCCCCACAGGAAGTGGACCTGGTCGAGCCCCGACGGTTCGACAAAAAATGAGATTGACTTCATTATGACGACCAGACGACAACTGTTCAGTGATGTCTCAGTGATCGCGAGGGTGAAAACCGGCAGCGATCACCGAATGGTTAGAGACACACTGAACCTAAACGTTAAGTTGGAGAGGTCTCGTCTACTGAAGTCAACGCTCCGTCCCCCTCGTGCTCTAATCCAAAGTCCCGAAACCTTTCAGCTCGAGTTACAAAACCGTTTTCAGTGCCTAGAAGACTGCAATGAAGTGGACGATTTGAATGACAAGCTCGTGGAAACTGTCCATGCGGTCGGAGCTAAGTTCTGCAAGACCCGCCGCAGAAGAACACAAAAACTCTCCGATCACACTCTTAATCTCATGGCTGTTAGACGGGAGATGAAGCTACATTCTTCAACAGATTTAACAGCATACAGGCAACTGAACAGACAGATCTCCAAATGCATGCGGCGGGACTTACGCAACTTCAATACAGCTCGTATTGAAGAAGTGATCGAGCGGAACCAAGGCTCCAAAGTCTTTGCCAGAGATCTGTCTGCCAGAAAGCGCCAACTGTCAAAGCTGAAGACAGAATGTGGCAGCATCGCTTCCGGGGCACCTGAGATTTTGAGTGAGATTGAGAGGTTCTATGGGCAGCTGTACACGTCATCGTTGGAGCCGCACGCAAGTGTGAGTAACGATCCAAGAGCGAGTCTTATCCGACATTATTCCGATGATATCCCGGACGTCAGTCTGAGCGAGATTAGAATGGCTCTCCAGCACCTTAAAAACGGCAAGGCCCCAGGCGAGGATGGAATTACAGCGGAGCTTCTGAAAGCGGGTGGAAAACCGGTACTTGAAGTCCTTCAGAAGCTCTTTAATTCCGTCCTCCATGGTGGCATTACACCGGAGGCGTGGAGCAGAAGTGCGGTGGTCTTGTTCTTCAAGAAAGGCGACAACGCTTTCTTGAAGAACTACAGACCGATTTCCCTTCTGAGCCGCGTCTACGTGCTGTTTTCGAGAGTCATTACGAATCGTCTCGCGCGCAGACTTGACGACTTCCAGCCTCCCGAACAAGCCGGTTTCCGAAAAGGCTTTAGCACCATAGACCACATACATACCCTTCGGCAAGTTGTACAGAAGTCCGAGGAGTACAATTTGCCACTATGTCTGGCGTATGTGGACTATGAGAAAGCCTTTGATTCCGTCGAAATTTGGGCGGTGCTGCAGTCCCTTCAGCGATGCCAAGTTGACTGTCGGTATATCGAAGTGTTGAAGTGCTAGTACAGTAGGGCTACGATGGCTATCCGAGTACAGAACCAGAGTACGAAACCTATCCAATTGCAGAGAGGTGTAAGACAGGGTGACGTCATATCCCCGAAACTCTTTACCGCTGCATTGGAAGATGTTTTCAAGCTTCTGGACTGGAAAGGATACGGTATCAACATCAATGGCGAGTACATCACTCACCTTCGATTTGCCGACGATATAGTCCTTATGGCAGAATCGCTGGAGGACCTAAGCACTATGCTCAATGACCTCAATAGTGTTTCCCAACGGATAGGTCTTAAGATGAACATGGACAAAACAAAGATCATGTTTAATGTCCATGTCACACCTATGCCGGTAGTTGTTGGGAACACTAAGCTCGAAGTTGTTGACGAGTATGTTTACCTGGGACAAATAGTCCGACTAGGTAAGTCCAACTTCGACCGAGAGGTCAATCGGCGGATTCAACTCGGTTGGGCAGCGTTCGGGAAATTACGGCACATCTTCTCGTCAGGTATACCTCAAAACTTGAAAACGAGACTGTACACCCAGTGCGTGTTGCCAGTGATGACATACGGAACTGAGACGTGGTCCTTCACTGCTGGCCGGATGAGGAAGCTCAAGGTCGCTCAGCGAGCTATGGAGAGGGCTATGCTCGGAGTTTCTCTGCGTGATAAACTCAGAAATGAGGATATCCGCAGTAGAACTAGAGTGACCGACATAGCCCAACGGATTAGTAAGCTGAAGTGTCAATGGGCCGGCCATATAGCTCGAAGAACCGACAACCGATGGGGAAGAAAGGTTCTCGAGTGGCAGCCTCGTACCGGCAGGCGAAGTGTAGGGCGTCCCCCCACTAGATGGAGTGACGACCTGGTAAGATATGCAGGAAGTCGATGGATGCAGGTGGCTCAGGACCGTGCTTTGTGGCATTCTTTGGGGGAGGCCTATGTTCAGCAGTGGACTTGAAGGGCTGTAATGATGATGATGACTTATTACTTCAAAATTATTATATAGTCGTTGGGTTTATTATAAGTATTATGTCATCTAATACAGTCAACCGGACATTAACTCTGACATTCGATATAATATGTAGGTAAACAACCGTATACTTCCGAGCGCGCGGTTAGTACTGAACTTAGCAAGTACCTACTGCGCGTTCGCTCTGTCGGATTGTGACGTCACGTCACAAAGAACGAGCGGGTAAAAATTAAAAAAAAATTGCGAAACTTCAAAACGTTATAACTTTCGTATTTCTGCACCAATTTGGATGAAACAAAAACTATTGTTATTTTCATAAACATAGCTTTAAAGCTATATAGGTTTTATTGTCAACATTAGCATTTTGATTCTTACAATTATAGGTGTAGGTGTCTATGCACCAGAACATCCATTTTGTACACACCAGTTCCACCACCACACTTCAGTGGGACTTTGTACACACCAGCTTACTTCTATAAAGTTCGGATATTATATTTCATGGTAATTTTTTCCAAATCAGATATTACCTTAGCTCAGCAATTACTTAAATATATTTAAAAAATTGTTGTCATATATATATGTTTCGTTTTGTTTAATTGCTGCTTAAAATCTAGATAATTTCTTTTACAGTATTTCAATAACGAAAAATATGAATTAGAAAAATACGACCGCAGTCTCAAGAAGTATGAAGAGGCATCACTCAAGACTGCTTCGAGTTTAGCGTTGCTTAACTTCGGACAGCACGCAATTTTCAGCGCCGGCCTCAGCATTATAATGATCATGGCCGCTAAGGAGATCGCTAAAGGTATGAATGAACCTTCTTTAATCTTAATTGCCTAATATGTCGTCTTTTTATATTCCAATCGAAATGTAAGGGATGTTCTCGTGGACGACTGAGAAGCAGTTACTGTTTTGTATTACGTCTTATTCATGCTCTATAAAATGTCATGATAATTGGAAAATCTATAATAGTGCATGCACTTAAAACTCAGAGTCTGTTCGAGGAGCTCGTAGAATGTAAATTTCATAAAACGTTGCAACCCTCCACAACAATAGATTTGACTGATGATTCTACCACATCAAGAACAGCAGAAAGGATTACAAGCAGCAGAAGGAAATTAAAAAAATATATAAAAATTAATAAATATATTAGGAAAGTGCAAAAATTAGTTAAAACTAAAATTAATATTAAAAATTATACAAATGTATGTAAGGAAAAGCAAGAGTTAATTAGTAAAATTAAATTATATTCAATTGAGGTGGAAAACATGAAAAATTGTTATGAGACTGAAATAGAGTGTCTTAATTCAGAAATTTTATCACTTCAAACCTCATTACAAATTATGTCAAATAAATATCAATCTGCAGGGAATGAGATAAAAGAACACATACTGGCCATGGATAATCTGGTAAAGTCCTGCAAATATAACGAGGAACGTTTTGACTCCTTATTAAAATATCAAACTGAATATCAGCGCTCACTGCCAGGTTCTTTAGGGACAGTGTGTGTTAATAATATGACAAGCAGTAATACTTCATTTTCTTTACCTACACTCTATGATAGTACCATAACAAAGCAGAAAAATTTAAAAAGTAATTCATATAATGAAAAAAATAATATAATTGTGTATAGTGATGACATAGGCAAAAACTTGGGTATATCATTGAATAACTGTTTAAAAAGGCAACAGATAAGTAATTACTGCATGCCTGGAGCATCATTCAGTGATATTATGAATAAAATTTTAACTAGTAAATTTAACCCTAATAGTATATTAATAATTTTTGTTGGGAGAAGAGGCAATATGAACAAGAATCAATTATTAAAATATATTGAATATCTCAATAACATAAATGTGGTTAAAGTTATCTTGTTTACATTGCCTTATATAGAGGGGTGGCCACAGGAAAATAAACTAAGACATAATTTAAATTTAATGATGCATAACTTGACATGTAACAATAACTTAAATTTGACATTTAATTGTAAGAATAATAATGATAAATTTCATTTAATTGATATTAATAATTTAACTAAGAAGTTTTTGACAAGAGATAGGTATTACCTATCAAAGTATAGTTTAAGACTGGTAGCAGATACGCTATCTTATTATTTATATTTTAACTCAGCCAATGATTTGGCTACCTTGACACCTGCTTCTTTTGAGCAACAAAATAATTTTACATTTGATTTGGAACCAGTTCCAAGTAATTTAAATTAGATAATAAGACAATAGAGGTAATCTCTAGCAAAGATAATTTAAATAGCTTAGAATGTAACTTACCAATACATAATTATGCAATTTTACAAAATAAAAATAATAAAAACTGTATCAACCTGGTGCATCAAAATATACAAGGTATGTTAGGCAAAGAATTAGAAATTGAATTATTTTTAAATAGTAACAGTATAAATATTTTATGTATTACAGAACATTGGTTGAAAGAATACAACTCCATATTTAATTTCAGTAATCACCAGGTGGTCAGTTCGTTCAATAGAGATACTAAATTACGTGGTGGCTCCTTAATATTAGCTAATAAGTCCTTATCATGTAAAGAACGTAAAGACATTGTGAGCCTCTCTGTTGAGCGTACTGTAGAAATGGCATGTGTTGAGCTTGAGCACCTTATTGTTGTCAGTGTTTACAGACCCCCATGTTCAAGTTATGATACTTTTGAAAAAATTATGGAAGAAGTTTTAGTTAAGCTTAATAAACAGAATAAATCTCTTGTAGTGTGTGGAGACTTTAATATCAATCTCCTGGAAACTTCTTCCGTCAGTATTAAATTCTGTTCTTTGTTCAAATCCTATAATCTTAATAATTTATTCTTTGAAGCTACACGTATTGCAGGGTGTAGTGCAACTTGTATTGATAATATTTTTACAGGTGTTGTACCAATCAACAAATCAATAATTCAAAAACTTAGTTCAGATCACTGTGGACAACTGGTTTCGTTACCTTATATGCACAAAAAACAGGTAAATGAGAAAATTGTGTTTGTTCCTATTAATGCAAAACGCCTGGAGAGATTTAGAAGTAATATGTTAAAAATCCTTCCATCCCTTTCTTATAAGAACAATGCAGACTATTTATATAGAGAATTATTTACCTTTATAAACAATGAATTTAATAAAACATTCACTTCTAAAACATTCTCCAGAAACAGTCGCAAGGCATTTAATGAGTGGGCGACAGTAGGAATTCATAAAAGCAGACGAAGGTTATATGACCTTTACCATGAAAGATCGTATAATCTTTCCGATGCTTTTAAAGAATATGTAAAAAATTATTCTAAAATGTTTAAAAGAGTTTGCTCCACAGCCAAATCATTACATATTAGTAACAAAATTAAGACAGCTAAGAATAAAATTAAAATGACGTGGAGTATAATTAACAGCGAAACCGGTAATGAGAAACCTCGTAATTCAAACTATCAATTAAAAATTAATAATGAATTGACTAAATCAAATCAAGAAGTTGCAGCGGTGTTTGAGAAATATTTCACTGATGTTCCTATCTTGACAACAGAGTCATTGAATGCTTCTCCAACTGTCGCCGAATCATTACTTAAACAGAATGTTAATACCTGTTTAAAAGAATTTAGATTTGAAAAAGTATTACCGCATAATATTGTAAAATACTTCAAAACCATTGATGTAAAGAAAACCGCAGATTTGTGGGGGATTTCCGTTACAGTGATTACGTCCATAATAGATTTAATTGCACCTCATCTTGCTATTATTTTTAATACTTGTATCGATTCTGGTGTGTTTCCTGATTTAATGAAGTATAGTAAAGTAATACCTTTATTTAAATCTGGTAGTACATTGGACCCCGCTAATTATAGACCTATTTCTGTACTACCAACTCTCAGTAAAATTTTTGAAAAAATAATTTTGGATCAATTGTTAATTTTTTTTAATACAAATAAATTACTTCATAAAAATCAATTTGGTTTTACAAGGGGTCGCTCGACGTCTGACGCCGGTGTTGAGCTTATGAAATATATTTTTAATGCCTGGGAGAATTCACAAGATGCCTTAGGTATTTTCTGTGACCTTTCCAAGGCTTTCGATTGTGTTCATCATGATACATTAATCAGGAAACTACAACATTACGGTGTAAAAAATTTGGCGCTTAAACTTATTACTTCATATTTAAGTAACAGAACTCAAAAAGTCGTCATTAATGGTAAATGTTCCTCCGGATCGGTAGTATCAATGGGCGTTCCTCAGGGCTCGATTCTTGGCCCATTCCTGTTCTTAATCTATATTAATGACTTACCTTATCTTGTAGGGGACAATCACGATATAGTATTATTTGCTGACGATACCTCTTTAATTTTCAAACTGAAACGGCAGTCAATTAAATATGACGATGTAAATAATGCTCTATCGAAACTAGTACATTGGTTTAACGCCAACAATTTGCTCTTAAACGGCAATAAGACAAAATGTATTAAATTTACAATACCTAATGTAAAACATTCGAAAACCAATGTGCTCTTAAATGGGGAGGAGTTGAGTCTTGTGGATACCACTGTTTTTCTCGGTATTACTATTGACGCGAAACTTCAATGGGGCCCCCATATATCTAAATTAGCAAGCAGACTTAGTTCTGCAGCATATGCTGTAAGAAAGATTAGAAGTCTCACAGATGTTGAGACAGCTAGGTTAGTGTATTTTAGTTACTTTCATAGCGTAATGTCTTATGGAATTTTGCTATGGGGTAATGCGACTGATATTGAAGCTATATTTGTTTTGCAAAAGAGAGCCGTACGGGCGATTTATAATCTAAATTGTAAAGAGTCCCTTAGAGAAAAATTTAAAGAAATAAACATATTAACTTTGGCATCGCAATATATTTATGAAAATGTAATGTATGTACATAAAAACATAAATAGCTTTAATAAGAATAAGGATGTCCATACCTTAAACACTAGGAACAAACATAAGCTTGTAATGCCACTTACAAGACTCCACAGAATTAGTAATTCATTTATGGGGCAATGTATACGCTTTTACAACAGAATCCCAGAACATGTTCAAAGTTTGTCAATAAACAAGTTTAAAAGTTTTATTAAAGAAAAACTGTACAAAAAGGGTTATTATAATATCAAGGAATACATGAGTGAAAATAACCCCTGGGAATAAGGTGATCGCCACCATGCTGGTTCTATGAAAATTCATTTAAAATTGTATAATCAAAATTATTGTTAAGTGAAATTATGTTTAAAAAAAAGTCCCGCTGGGTTTCTTGCTGGTTCTTCCCAGGACAGAGGTATTTTCCGAACCAGTGGTAAATAAAATAATGACTTTCAATAAGTATTATGTAATAATCCATATTGAATAAAAATCATTCTATTCTATTCTATTCTAGTGATGTATGCCTGGATGTCGATTTAAACGCTATTGGTAGTCCCTAGCCCTACATATCGACATAATTTATATTGATATTGCCTAAGGCTGATGTCGGTATAATTTATAATATTTATATTGCTTTAGGCCTAGATGTCAATATAATCTATAGTATTAACATTGCCATAGACCCAGATGTTGATATTATAACATTAATGTTAATATTGATACTACCCTAGGCCTAGATGTGAATATAGTCATCGGTTTTTATTTTTTATTTATACGTTTAATTTTATAGTTTACAAAAGCAATTTGAGAGCACAGAGCACAACACACACATTGTTCACACGTGTTTTAATATTATTGACGGTAACCAATGGGTACACAGTCTATCTGATGGTCAGTGAATGCTGGAGCTCATTAAGATCCACATGTGCTCAGTTAAAAATCGTAATTATCCCTCTACACCAGTCCATCCATTTCATCCATTACAACCTGTAAAAGTCCACAGCTGAACATAAGTCTCCTCATAGATTTTTACCTACAGAGATTTTGCCATAGTTGGTACCTTTGATAAGCGTCTTGGCAACCACAGTTTTGTTATAATTTTGAGTTGTTATCGGGAAGATCCTGCTGCCTATCTCTTGTTTTAGTTTCCCTCTGGGTGTCTGGTATGTCTCGCTGGGTTTCTTGATAGTTCTTCCCAGAACGGAAGTTTTTTTACGAACCAGTGGTAAAAGTAAAAAAATATTTTCAATAACAATGACTTGTTATCTATATTGGATAAAAATTATATTCTATTACTCTGTCGCCTCTTACAACACCCATGGGTCGTTATCTACCATTAGTGTGAAGTAAGTCAGTAAGGCTAACAAATAGAAATACATATATTTTTGGTATAGGTCCTACTCTAGTATGAGTTTTTTTTTATAGGATAGGGTGACACACGAGCACACAGTCCACCTGATGGTAAGTGGTTGCTGTGGCCCATAGACATCTACATTTATCCTCGTTTGCGAATCAAAATGCAGATGCGTTGTCACCCGTGAGGACGAAGATGGAATGCCTCTTTTCCAGTAAAAAGGATCTCCGGTTCTCTACACTCACCATACGAAACAGAGCAGCGTTAAGCTGCTATTTTACGCTGGTATTTTGTGAGAGCGTGGTCCTTCCCCGGTCGAGCCTACCCATTCTGCTACAACTATACTACTAATATAGCTGCAGCATGGCTCTACCACATACAAAAAGTGAGTGCCTTTGATTGCTTCCTTCTAAGAACGAAGATGAAATCATTCATTTATTTTAAAAGTGTGTTTTCTTCCCACTATCTTGTGTTTAAACTTCAACTCTCTCATCCATTTATTCCCAATCAACAATTCTCATCCCCATATCATTTCCGCATTCTTGATTTCATTCAATTCTGGTTCATGTATCTATCTTTTTATCAATCCCCCATTACTTTTGCTGCAGGCAATATGACCGTGGGTGACCTGGTGATGGTGAACGGGCTGCTGTTCCAACTGTCCATTCCCTTGGGTTTCCTAGGTTCTGTGTACCGCGAAGTTCGACAGGCTCTCATCGATATGCAGACAATGTTCACACTTATGACCGTACAGTCAAAGATTAAGGTAATTTTAATAATACTAGATGAATTGGCAGACGTTGTTCTATCCTTTCAGTTTTCAATCCACTTTGGAATTTTTACCGTGTTTAAATATATAATGTATTCATAACGCTACCATCTGGATTTTGAAAATTTTCTTTTTTGACTCACAACAAATATATCATGGATATGAGTGTTAAATTTCTAAACATTATGGTCCATAAATATTGAATTTGTTAATAACTTGATACAGGATCGTAATATAGCTATGATTGTCTTGACAAAAAATATCTTGTAAATGTGACCTCAATCATTTGATTAAAGATAAATAACCTATCTAATGTTTTATGTTTACTCGTTCTACGTTAATTGTTATTTGGCCAGGGCTGGTAATTCATCGTCCTATCTTATCTATATATATGATTTAGCGAAAATTGAAAATCTAACCTTCCAAAGTAGTACTGCGACCACCAAGAAGCCATTGATGCGTTTGCGATTTGCGATGGCGTTTAAGGCAGTAAACAGTTTACCGCTTCATGAAACATTACGCTAGAGACGGAGGGGTCAAGACAAGTGTCTCTCATTTTTTAAAGCTTCAGTTTGTGTAAGGCTTCAACCTATAAACGTCCAACACCTGGGTACAGAGCTCTTCTCATTTGTGAGAGGATTTCAGGGATAAGAAGTGTCCGCAGTGCTGTTCTAATGCTAGTTGTCAGACTTCTTTTTTATAAAATAAGGGTGACAAACAAGCATACAGTTCTTTATCAGCATGTAAAAGCGCGACTGCTGGATATGAGCCTCTCCCAATCTAGAAAAGTTTTGATAGGGTGACAAACGAGAACACAGTCCGCCTGATGGTAAGTGGATGCTGTGGCCCATAGACATCTACATTTGTCCTCGATTAAAAATCAAAATGCAGGTGCGTTGTGCCACCCTTTAATACTAAGATGGAATGCTTCGTTTCCAGTAAAAAGGGTTCTCTACACTAACCATTATTTTACCCTAGTATTCTATGAGAGTGGTCCTACCCCGGCCGACCCATTTGTGCTACATCCATAATTATAGCTGCAGCTATATATACATATATATATTTCAAATGTCTTCGATTTTTTCCTTGAATTTCTCAGTGATGCAGATTTAAAGATTTCTCACGATTTTTTCCTTTACCCCGAACACGTGGTAAATCAGTACTTAAAATTGCTATTAAAAATTTATGTTAATGGGGATTGAACTCTGTTTGCTCGATATTGTTGATATTTACGGCAAGCGCTTAGTGCCTGAGCTACCATGAGTCCTGTCATTGCTTTTTAGGTTTCCATACCCAAAGGGTAACCAACGGGATGCTATTAGTAAGCCTCCGCTGTCCGTCCGTCCGTCGGTCTGTCTGTCAGCGGGCTGTATCTCATGATCCGTATTAGGTAGACAGTTGAAATTTTCACAGAATGTGTATTTCTGTTGCTGAACAAATAATTAAAATAGAAATGAATTAAAAATTAAACGAGGCCCCCTACTTGAAACATGTTTTGTTTTGGCTTTGTTTTTGCTCGATCTTAATAATGGCAACAAGTGGACGCTTGGAATGCTCACAGAGTTTGTATTGCTATATTCGCTGAAAAAAATATGACAAAATTATATTTAAAAAGTACTTACATAGTATTAAATTTTGCACGATAGTACGGAACCCTTCATGCGCGAGTTTGACTCGCACTTGGCCGGTTGTTCTATTTCCGTTTGTGCGTGTGTACAACTAAAGTGAAATCGCTATAAAACTGAACCCTTCTAGGAATAAGAGGTTTCTGCTCAAAAGTTGTTGTATGTAGGCCGATCTTTATGCCTTTAATTTTTTTGTTTTAATATCATAATAATGACTGCCACGTTGTCGTAAAAGCGGTTGTTGATCATGAGGCGAATCCCGAGTCAGGCTCAAATCAGTTATTGGATGTTTCTGTTAAGAAATTCTCAGAAAGCAGGTTAAGATGTTGGTCCTGCGCCTGATCTCTCTTTGGTCGTGTCGGATTACCAGATGGTTATTCTCCGTTGAGACTGGACGCCGTGACCAAAATTCGGGCTGTTGTACATTATTATTATTAATGGTAATTTTGTGTAGTATCAATTACTTTGTAGGAGAAAGAGCGAGCGCCGCTTCTGCAAGTGGACGCAAAGACGGCGACGATTGAGTTTAAAGATATCAGTTTCAAATACATAAACGGGAAGCCGATCTTCAACAACCTCAGCTTTTCTATACCTGCTGGCAAGAAGATCGGCATCGTTGGAGGATCGGGCAGTGGGTAAGTTTCGATATTATTGTTATTGTGATAATTTTTTTTAATATACTATGTTATACTCGAACACATGAAAATTATTAAAACTGTAGTAAAAAACATGCATATGGATTTTTTCCCATTGAGGTAATAGTGATAAACAAAATCCACCTAGCTAGCAACCGGGGTCCGTAACACAACAGCTCAATGTTGCTGTGTTACGTATGATGAGGGTAGAGAACTGGTAACACCTTTTTACTGGAAATGAGGCATTCCATCTTTGTCCTCAGGGGTGGCAACGAGGCAAGATGACTAACGAGCAATCAGTCAGCCTGATGGTAAATGTATGCTGTGGCCCATAGACATCTATATCTATCCTCCTCGATTAGGTATCAAAATGCAGATACGATGTCACCCGTGAGGGCTAAGATGGAATGCCTCGTTTCCAGTAAAAAGGTGTCGAAAGGTTCTCTACACTCACCATACGAAATACAGCAGCGTTAAGCTGCTATTTTACGCTGGTATTTTGTGAGAGCGTGATCCATTCGTGCTACAAGTATACTACTAATATAGCTGCAGCATGGCTTTACCACGTGAGAAGAGAAACTCCTAGATACAATAGAATGGAAGACTACCACCAACTAGTAAAAATACTTTTAATAGTGACTTTTGATTGGTTTTTCAGGAAGTCGACGATGGTGCGTCTGCTGTACAGATTCTTCGAGCCGCAGTCCGGTCAGATATCGATAGCTGGGCAGAACATCAGGGACGTGGATTTGGCCAGCTTGAGGAAAGCCATCGCGATAGTACCGCAGGTATGTCGAGTATGAGGAACTGCAGTCATGACTTTATTGAAAAAAAAAAACAAATGAGTTGGTTAAAGTTTTCTTTGATAATAGACTCGTACGGTTGTATTTTTGCCAGTCAAATAAATTAAGAAATTACCCTTTAAAATAATTTGTTTTAAAACTTATTCACAATATATTGATGTGTCACATTGTGAAGTTTTTGGGGAGATTTTAACATCAGCTCGAGCCAGCAGACAGTCGATGACGACAGTATCTCAAGGTGCCAGCTTTTTTGCGTATATCTGCAGATATTTTTTAATAAAAAAATAAATAGTAAAAAGTGAACGGCGACTTCCAATTCTAACTAAGTCATGCTGTATAGAGGTTTTAAAGTCCAAACTTCAGAATGTGATGTTTGCTTTTACTTTTTATTAAAATTTTATAGACTCTTTTGAGTGAGCAAAGAGATACGTCTAAATAGTTGAAAACTTCACCCTCTACTTTGCTACCTTTAGCGATGGAATTTTGTTCCAAATTTAATAGGACCACTGCTAGCCACCACTATCTATATCTTTATATATAAAAATTACGTGTCACGTTGTTTGTCCGCGATGAACTCCTAAACTACTGAACTGATTTCAATGAAATTTTGCACACTGTGTGCAGTTTGGTCCAACGTGAGAGATAGGATAGTTTAGTTTAGTTTACGACGGGCTGTTTTCCGCAACTCCACGTCTATGCGCGTATTTTGCGTGTGGGCAGGAATAATGTGATTATTCGAGCCATGAGATCTCCCCGAAGAAGCTCAACAGTCCCTTGATGTTGCATGCAACTTCGGGGAGTGATCCCGGCGTGCCGAGATGTTTAGCCTGTACGTAACGACCTCCGGACATTTCAGTAGCACGTGGGCCGCCGTTTCTTCCTCCCCTGCACAGGGGACTATCTGTAACACCTAGAGTAAATAAATATTTCTTAAAGGTGCCGTGTTCTGTGATAGCACTTGTTACTATCCTGATCTGCGGCTTGTTCAGTCTCATTAAAACTTTGGTTAAGCGACTGTTTATTTCAGGCAGGGCCTCCCTAGCTTGTCTACAGTCTACCAGATTTTTCCAAAGCTGAGCGTGTTGATTAGTGAAGTGTCTACGTACCAGTGAACGAACGTTACCAAAGGGGATTGGTATGATTGGTTCCGGCCCTATAGTGGCCAGAGCCGATCCTCTTCTGGCCAGTTCGTCTGCTGCATCGTTGCCTCTGGATCCACTGTGTCCCTTTATCCATTGCAGAGTCACATTGTTGTTTTTACATACCTCATTTAATCTTTGATGGCATTCATATATTAGTCCCGAGTTCACCACATTGCAACTCAGAGCTTGTAGTACCGCCCTACTGTCGGTCAGTATTCTGATGGGGAAGTCATTAACCTTCCTAGCATCTATTGCTATGGCCGCTTGAATGATACCCATACATTCCGCCTGAAAGACCGTGTTATAGGTGCCCAGCGGTGTGCATATGTGAATATTGAGGTCTTCAGTGAAAGCTCCAGAACCTACACCTTCATTTGTTTTAGAACCATCGGTGAAAACTCTAAGCTCTTTTGGGCTTAATCCTTCCGGCTGGCTGGTTTCATTTTATTGTATCCTGTACTTCTTATCGAAAACAAATTGTTTAGGAATCTTATCGTATTTGGCTTGTAGGATAGGAATTTTTCAGTGAATTCTATCAATTATGCATGTATGAGGGACACTATTCTTACTAAAAAGATTTAGGGTCTTGAGTCTGATGGCAGCTAAATTCGCTTCTTGTTGTATATGTAGATGAAGCGGAGTTAGCTCCAGCATCGCTTCTAAGGCTGCTGTTGGCGTAGTTCTCATGCAGCTTGTGGCAGCCATACATGCCAGTCTGTGGTAGCGCTGAAGCTTCTTAATTGTGGTGGCTTCATTTGTTTTGGTCCACCATACCAGAGCGCCGTATGTGATCATGGGCGGAATTACAGTTTTGTAAAGCCACAGTATGATTTTTGGCGTCAGTCCCCATCTTTTGCCAATCATGTTTCTGCATTGCCAGAAAGTTATACTAGCTTTGTTGATTGTGTTTTCTATGTGTCTATTCCAGTTAAGTTTGCTGTCCAAGGTAAGACCTAAATATTTCACCTCAGAGGATAGCTGGAGTTTTGTGCTGAAAAGACTTGGAAGATGATAGTTATTCAGCATTCGTTTTTGTGTGAACATTACTAAAACCGTTTTATTTGGATTCACGGTTAAGTCGTATTCCCTGCACCATCTCTCCACTATACGGAGAGCTGCTTGGGTCAGGTCGCACACTATGCTTGCTGTCTTTCCAGAGACCAGTAGTGTCAGGTCATCAGCATAACCTACTGTGTAGAAGTGATTGGCATTTAATTTGCTGATGAGTTCATTAATGACCATATTCCACAGCAGAGGTGAGAGAACCCCACCCTGCTTGCAGCCTTTCTTAATTTGGATTGGTTGAGATTCACCAGCAATCTTTATTATTCGTGTACTGAGCATGTATACTATCCAGTCGATCAGTGCCGGTTCAACTTTATGTCTACTGAGTGTACCTTTTATCCTGGAGAAGTTCGTTCTGTCAAAAGCACCTTCTATATCTATGAAGGAACCTAGACATATTTCTTTGTTTTGGATGGCCTCTTCAATCTTTGTAATTACCTGGTGAAGTGCCGATTCTGTTGATTTGCCTAGACTGTAGGCGTGTTGCTTGTCGTGTAGTGGTAAGTTCATTAGCGCCGACCCCCTTAATTCCCTTTCACACATCCTCTCCATCGTCTTTAGGAGAAAGGATGTGAGGCTAATGGGCCTGTATGATTTAGGGTCAGTGTAGTCGCTCTTACCTGGCTTGGGTATGAATGTGACTTTCACTTCCCTCCATCCCCTAGGAACATATTTAAGAGCCAGACAGGCTCTCATTATGGCAACAAGTCTGACTATTAGGGCTTTACCCCCCACTGTAGGAGTGCCGGGAATATGCCGTCAGGTCCTGCCGCCTTATAGGGGAGGAAACTGTGAATGGCCCAATGGATTTTGTCCATCGTTACCACTCTCTGTGCTAAATTCCAGTCTTCTGCTGTTGGTGTCAGTATGTCGTCATGCCGGTTTGCCTCCTGAGTTACGCAGCAACCTGGGAAGTGCGTTTCAATTAGGATGCGTTGGGCTTCATCTGGCGATGTTGAGTAGCTACCGTCGGGTTTCTTTAGAGACATGGATCCCAACGTGTTCTGTTTAGCTAGAATATTCGTTATCCTATTTGCTTGTTCGCAGGTTTCTATGTTACCACAGAATTTTCGCCACCCAGTCGAACGACGATACCTGATACATTTTTTGTATTCAGACTTAGCTTTATTATATAGTAGCCAGTCTTCATCCATTGAGGTATTCACGGCCCTATTTAGGGCTTTTCTTACCTTCTTACGTTTCCTATCGAGTTCTTTACCCCACCACGGTTACTTTACCTCAGCATGCCTTGGTGGAGTGATCTCTGGACATGATTCATGGTAGCTATCTATCATGGCCTTAGTAACAGCTGCTACCTGTTCTTCTAGGAGCGACTGATCTGCTATAGTATTTATCCCCTCAAAACCCGCGAGCGAAGACGTCAGCCTATTTAGGTATTTTGTTTTATCAGTCTTGCGGGGATTTCTCCATGGTGGTGTAGAGGGGATATCGACCTGTAGTGCGAAGCAGATCCATCTATGATCTGAGCATGAGGCCTCTTTCGACACATGCCATCCCGTAATTAGTTTGGCTGCTCTTTCTGTTGCAAGTTTGAGGTCGATTATAGTGCGACAGCGTTTGTTTATGAAAGTTGGTTCAGTTTAATATGGTTGGGATAGTGCTAAATAAATATTCAACTAAAACCTTACCTCGTTCATTTGGTCTTTCCATTCCCGAGAGGGGATGATGTGCGTTGGAGTCCGTCCTGATCACAACCTCTAGTCCGGTCCTCTCGCAGAAGTTCACCAGCCTGCCGAGGTTATGAGGGGGAGAAGTGTCTTCCTCCGGCATATAGACCGAGGCGACGACTAATATTCTCTCCTGTGTATATTGTATAGCCACGGCATACATGTCTCTAGAACAGAAATCTGTTAATGGTTGTGCACAGATATCTTTAGTAGTGTAAATACACGCTCTAGGCTTGTCGTGTTCAGAGCTGTAGAATAGCTTACCTTTTAGTTTGTTTAGGCCTTTAATTTTACCAGCCCCAACTCACGGCTCCTGGATTAAGGCTATGGCATGGTCCTTTGAACCTCCATCCACTTGCGTAATTGAGCCAACGCAGTTTCGCTGTGGTGGAGGTTGGCCTGCACTAGGCTAGTTTTGGACGAAGGGCACGCCATCATTGATTGCGTCCTCCCCGTCCCCGCCCAAAAATAGACCTGCCAGCAGATCTCGGGTTTCATCGTCAGCCACCGAGTCGGAAGTGGTCGGCAAAATGCAGTCCTCTTCGTCACTCAGTGAGCTGCCGCTGAGCCCGATCTCTACTGGGGGCTTTGGCTCAATTGTGCAGGCCGTTTTTTCACTGGACTTGGCCTCCAGTGATTCCGCTGTACCGGTAACCATGGCTCCGGTATCCATAACTTCCGGGTTATTTTCTGCCTCTGCTCGGTGGAGTGTCAAAGAATTTACTTCCACGACCCTGGAATTTTACGTATACCGCCCCGCATACACATGCGAGACGGCGTCCGGCCTTCATCAGGGTCGGGATATGATCCTCCGGCACCGAAACAACGAGGAACCACCCGTACGTCTGCTTATCAGCCTTGAGTAACAGCCAGTCCCTGATGTTAACCCAGCGGTTCTGGTACGCCAGCACTCGACCAATGTCGCGTGAGTCTTTCCAGGCTCCTTGGGCATCAGGGATAAGGATACCACATTTGACTCTTTGTGGTATCTCTGACTGTTTCTTTATGGTCAGCAAGGTGTTGGATTTAAGGTCGAGAGTAGCAATATTCCCCTTCAACCATTCCAGAGCCTTCTGATCGTCGCACCACAGTTTCAGGACACCCTCCGTGTAAACGGGTTTGCCCCTAAAGACTGGGCCCGACGCATCAGGGTCCTGGCTACTCCAGGCCTCGCTGATCATCTTCCTCTGTATTACCACGAGGATGTCGTCTGCTACTTCCTTCGTCGTGCTTTAGCAGCGGAAGCGTAGCTCGTTCTTGCAGCCTTTGGTTGCTGTTCGAGTCGCACTGTTTTATGTTCCCCTCTAGGCGAGGTGGACTCTTCCAGCATCCTTTTGGCTGCTCTTTCCTTCTTCCCAGGACGCTTGGCCGCTCGCTGCTTCCTGGCGGATATCCTAGATCTGGTTCCCGCGGCCACGACTTCCACTTGAGCTGGATTTTATCCTTCCCAGCTTCAGGGCAGCTACTGGTTCCAGCGCCAAGCACCCGTGTCGCAGTAGCTTGCCCAGCCTCCTTGGTTTTAGTTTCAGAAGCAGTTAATGCGGCTCGTTCTCTTTGGCCTTCTTCCCGCTGCTTCTTGTTCTTCTTTTTGGCCTTTCCACTACTGCCTGCAGGGATAGACCCTCCTGATGGTCTGTCAGGTCGGCAAGTCACCTTTTTGGTTGCCTTGCCTTTCCCCTTACGGCTCACCACTTGCCAGGCAGCAGAGAAAAGGTCGTCAGTTCTTTGTGGCTCCGCAGTTTTGTTACTCGCGGGCTCTTGTTCTTTTTTCTGGTCCAGCTCCTCAGGTTTGGAACTGGTTTTGGAAACGTTCAGCGAGGTAGTAGTTGTCCAATTGGTGGGGCCACCTTCTCTGGACGGTACTGTCCGTGGAACCGTCGGTTTAGTGACGGTTCCCCCATTGTTCTTTGGTGTCTCTGGTAAGCACCCCTGACACCTCTCCCTCTTTCTTATTGGGCCTTAAATTGTCCATAACTTTTGTTCTTTAGAATTCGTCCCCCCGGCTTCCCACCCTCCATGGAGCCCGCATTTTTGGGAACACCCTACTTTAAAAAAAAAGAATTTCAGGCGTTAGGATTACCGGGAGAATATAGGGACGCGAAGTTGGCTCACAGCGCGACATCGGGAGCTCGATCCAGCTGGTAGATGGGGCTGACAAGGCCTATCCCCACCACCCGAATAAACTGTCACTTGCTCCGTCAGCATGGCCTTTACCACCAACCAGCCCCCTTTTCAGGAAAACTAGGCAACCCCCACATCCCTCGCCTGCAACCCTCTGACGGGACGGTTGGCCATTTCCCTATCTGTGGCTAGCAGATAGGGTCACCGATTAGCTTGAAATCCGGACCAAAGAAGGCGTGTTGCCTCTCGCCACTATATACCCCAGCGATGATCGGCTCAACCCTCCAGGACTCCTTCATCCCCGCGTACGGCGCTCAACTGCGCAGGTCCTAGCGCAGGTGGGGGTGTTAGTCCACCGGATACACCCACTCTCTCCGGCGGAACCGTCCCCTCCTCCTTTCTCATCCGAGCTTGGGACCGGCAATGGCGGAGTTAGATAGGATAGTTTTTATCCCGATAAATGACCCTCAAACATTTTTATTGCGAATTTAAGAATTTTTATAGGACACAGGGTCGTCGGAGAGGGCAGAACAACCTCTACCTGGCGAGCTAGTAAATAAATAAAATTTAAGTGTCTGTTTGTAATGCCAAAATAACAGCTTTTTACAAAATGCGTATAAAAGTTTATACAGTACTTATAACAAAAAAAAATTTGTCGGTTTGTCTGTCTATTTGTTCCGGATAATCTCCGAAATGGCTGGTCCAATTTTGACAGGATACCCTGGCAGATAGCTGATGTTAGGTGGGGTAGCGGACGAGAGTAACTTTTATATTAGAAAAGGAGTTAGGATTCCGCGCAAAAAAATTAAACTCATGAAATTAAATAGTAATATATTTCACGCGGACGAAATCGCGGGGAACAACTAATTTAATAAAAAAATAATTAACAAAATCGGTTCACAAGGTACAAAAATATTAGATAACATATATTTACAAAAGTTTCGAAATAAAAACACAATCGAATTGTAAACTTAATATATACAAATAAATAAAATTGAAGTGTCTTTCTTATAATTGTATATTTTATATAAATTAGGTTAGAAATGAATAAACCAAACTACGGATATTCCTATAAGTGGAAGAATAAAAAAAAGTTAAAATATGTAAATAACACATCACTAAGGAATTTTTTTCTGTGTACATACACCAGAAACGATAGTACACACATAACATAATTTCAATTAATTTTTTCCATACGTTCAGGCTTTAATTTTTTTTTTACTTATTGAAAGGATGCCATTGCAGGATTGCGTTCTGTTCCACGACACGATATTGCACAACTTGCACTACGGAGACCTCAGCAAGTCCGTTCAGGATGTGTACAACGCCAGCAAGATGGCCGAGCTACACGAATCTGTTATCACTTGGCCTAAGGTATAGTTTCATTTGATATAGTAAATGTTCAATATATTTGCAGGTTTACAATTTTGAATTACACTATAATTAATATAGGTGAGAGCGATGTTCGTTAGAAGAATGATTTGTGTGTTGAGGTGCGAGGAAAAAATGTCACTATGACGTAAATGCCTTAAAGAATAAAACTATATCACATATATTGTCGTTTGGCATTTAAAACGTAACGTGGCATTTTGCTTAAAATCTCTATAGATAACTATCAATTGCTGTCCGTAAGTCTCGCTAAAACTTCTAAAACGACTCTAACGATTTTGATGAAATTTTTTGTGTGTGTTTGAGTTGCTCCCTGGATGGTTTGAAAGAAACTGAGACAGAATATGGAGAAAGAGGGACTCTCTGTGATGAACTCTTTCTTCACAGGCCGCTTCTGGAAGAAAGATCTGTCACTGTGTCTTGCGTATGTGGACTATGAGAAAGCCTTTGATTCCGTCGAAATTTAGGAGGTGCTGCAATCCTTTCAGCGGTGCCAAGTTGACTGTCGGTATATCGAAGTGCTTAAGTATTTGTACAGTAGAGCTACAGAACCAGAGTACGAAACCTATCCAACTGCAGAGAGGTGTAAGACAGGGTGATGTTATATCACCCGAAACTCTTCACCGCTGCATTGGAAGACGTTTTCAAGCTACGGAACTGGAAAGGATACGGTATTAACGTCAATGGCGAGTACATCACTCACCTTCGATTTGCCGACGATATAGTCCTTATGGCAGAATCACTGGAGGATCTAAGCACTATGCTCAATGACCTCAGTAGTGTCTCCCAACGGATAGGTCTTAAGATGAACATGGACAAAACAAAGATTATGTTTAATGTCCATGTCACCCTATGCCGGTAGTTGTTGGAGCACTAAGCTCGAAGTTGTTGATGAATATGTTTACCTGGGACAAATAGACCAAACTAGGTAAGTCCAACTTCGACCGAGAGGTCAATCGACGGTTTCAACTCGGCTGGGCAGCGTTCGGGAGATTACGACATCTTCTTGTTAGACATACCTCAAAACTAGATTGTTCAACTAGTGCGTGTTGCCAGTGACGTATGGATCTGAGACGTGGTCCTTTACTGCTGGCCGTATGAGGAAGCTCTAGGTCGCTCAGGGACCTATGGAGAGGGCTATGCTCGGGGTTTCTCTGGGTGATAGACTTAAAAACGATGAACGGGAACTAAAGTAACCGACATAGCCCAACGGATTAGTAAGCTGAAGTGGTAATGAGCCGACCATATAGCTCGAAGAACCGACAACCGATGGGGAAGAAAGGTTCTCGAGTGGTTGCCTCGTACCGGCAGGCGAAGTGTAGGGCATACCCCAATAGTTTCCAGTAAAAAGGGTCTCCAATTCACTACACACCATGTGAAACAGCAGCATTGCACTACTATTTTACACTGGTATGCTTTGAGAGCGTGGTCCTTCACCGATCGAGCCGACTCATTCGAGCTACAACCATAATATAACTGCACCATGGTTCTACCACGTAAAGACTTACTATGTTACTGAGCTGTAGACTTACTATAGTTAAATTTTGTTTCAGGGCTATGAGACACAAGTCGGGGAGAGGGGTTTGAAGTTGTCTGGCGGTGAAAAGCAGCGAGTCGCGATCGCTCGTGCCATCTTGAAGGACTCGCCCATCATTGTGTTTGATGAGGCTACCTCCAGTCTGGACTCCATCACTGAACACGTAAGTAAAGGAATATTCATGCCTTTTGTGGGAGGCAAATAGCTCACTTATCCGCCTCGAAGGACCAAAAATGTATGGTGCGTTTTCTTAAAACTTTATAATAATTAATGACATGGACGTTAAATGCTACGATAATAAGTAAAACGGACCGCGCTGAATGATAATAGTACACTGATTTATTAATTGATTGCATGATAGAATTTGCACGCGTGTGACAAAAAGGTATAGAAAGTTAAGCTAACACATACTAAATAATACTTTATACACATGTACGATAGTTCGTACATACAGTGTCGGCCGGTGTAAGAAAACACGTCACTTATTTATTCCCCGTGGGTTCGTTGAGAGGCATCTGAATGATCCACAAATGAATATTACTGTTTGACATTAAGCTATAATAATAATCTTACATTGACATTTTCTCTGATGCCGTTACATAATTAATTATCAAATCAATGAGAGCACTTACCAATGTTTGTGGCCAGTACGCACGATAATTATAACCGGAGAAAATATTTTTTTTTGTACATCTCTAAATTTGTCCATGAGTATATATTTTATGTTTATCATTTTAGATAAAAATTAAATATAGATTTTTTTGGGATTACTTGTTATTTTTCAGAAGTCTTTCATACTTGGAAATAAACTAAAAGAAGAGCCTCTGGATGTTTATTTTGGCCAGTTTGATCATTTGTGAACAACACGTTTCCCAAATATGAAGAAGCAAAGATTTTGTAATCCAGTAACAATGAAATTTTCAGGCCATCCTACAAGCACTGAAAGCTGCCACAGTGGGACGCACGTCGATTTGCATCGCGCACAGACTGTCCACAGTTGCCGACGCGGACGAGATCCTCGTGCTGGAGAACGGGTCCATATCCGAGCGTGGGCGGCATCACGACCTCATCAGCAATCCCAAGTCCCTTTACTACAAGCTGTGGGAGAAACAGAACAGGGATGCACTGCCCAAGTGAGATCTCTGAGGACCTTCGGTTAAATGTTTGGCATGATTTGAGAGCCTTGACGTTTCGTTCTAAGTTAATTACATATTAAATGAGTGACAGCTGATATTTATATTAAAAGTTTTAATTTGAAATGGAGTTTTAGCGGGAACTTGACCGGCGGCGGATTTCTGCTCCTTTAATATAGTATAAATAATGGTTTAAAGTAGAATTTAACACGTAAAAGTGGTGCTATTTTGTGTATTAAATGTCAGCGCTAGTGAACTATTATTGGAAACGATCAAACAAGTGCATCGATCGTGAAGTGAACCGCCGAACCGCAGCTTAGACGCCTTAAGATACTATCGTCATCGACTGTTTGCTGGCTCAAGTTACCGTCAAAACCTTTCAAAAACTTCACAATGTGACGCACCCACATATTGTTAAGTTTTTAATCAGATTATTATAAAGGATAATTTCATAATAATACAATAGTACGAGTCCATTAATAAATAAAATAAAAACATTTAAAATGGTGCGTACAGTGTTTTCGTAAAGAAAACCAAGTAAAAAAAACGTTATAAAATATACTAAATATTGCATTGTTATAACACTGTAGATAAAAATCGTACATGTGATATAAAATAATATTAAACTAGAAAAACCTGAACAACACGCATCGATCCAAAGTTGATTAATTTATTTTATTCTGGTGATCTTGATCAGGATTCTAGAATAAAGTTATTACTGGGATAAAAACATCGGTCCCTGATAAGAGCAAGTTTTTGAGTCAATCGGCCGTCTACAAGTCGGTAAAAATTACATTAAAAGATTTCGTTACATATATTTACATACAGATACACGCGAAAATAATAAAAGCCTGTTAAGACGTAAAGTATTAACTGTCAAGTTTGTTGCGATGGTCACAGATTTTCTTAATTTCATTTTTTATTGCCTAATCATTGCAAATAAAAAGAAATGTACATAAAATGGCCAAGAGGCTCGTTACAAACGTAATACTTTTATAATATTTTTTATTTCAATAAAAATGCATATGCAAGATACTTATTGATGGTATAAAATTCTTTGTGTATAAATAACAATTATATGAGAAATTGTATATCAAATTGTTTCATGTTAAGAGATACAAATACATATACAACTTTGCTATGTAACCCTCCCAATGAAAGGAGGTTATGCCCAGCTGCGGGACGTATATAGACTGTATATTCAGATATACAACATGTAATGTAATAAATTACAAAACATATTTAGATTAACAGTAATATGTACTATGGCCTGTTTCAATGAAATTGTTCTAAGTGAAGTGTGTAATATCGAAATTACTGCCTTTTATTGAGCTTAGGGTATTATTGCATGATTTAAGGACATGAATAACCATTTTCGAAATTTTTGTCTGTTTGTCTGTCTGCACGGACTAATATTCGGAAAGGCTGAACCGATTGTTATAAAACTTTAGGAATTAATAGAGAGCAATGCCAGACAGGATCTAGGTTGTATTTTATTCTAAAAACAGATTTATTATTGAAAATATATAAATAAAACATTTCTGATTGTCTTAAATATAAATAACGCCACATTAGATTATTAACAGATCCTGGCGAAGCCGGGGCGGGTAATTAGTTTAGAAATATATTTCGAACTCAAATTTTTAAAAATAACATACATCTTATTCTTCAGTCTACGCGAAAAGTTAAATTTTACATTCATGTGTAATTTTAATAATATACGGTAGAGTATACTGTAGCATGATTATGTCGTCTCAACACGAGAAGTATCACTCTCGCACAGAATCACCGTTGCCGTTACAGCCTATTAAAGTCCACTGCTAAACATAGGCCTCCCCCATAGATGCCTCATAGGGGGATATTTGCCATAGTTGGCACGCTTGGCAAGTGGGTTGGCGGCCGCAGTTATTTTTTTAATTTTAGTCGATCTTAGGAAGATGCTGCTGCCCATCTCCTGATTAGTTTACCTCTGTCGCCTCTTACGACACCTCTTACGGGATGATGTGGAATAGTGGATATTGTTACACTGACACTACACTACACTACAGAATATCAGCATGAAATAGAACCATAATGCTACTGTATTTCGTTTGGTGAGTGACGAGAACCGAAGATTCATTTTACTGGTAACTAGGCGTTCCATCTTTGTCCCCACGAGTAAAAGTCCATACGCATTTTGATTCTTAGTCAGTGTTTTATTCATTTAATGTATATGTTTATGGACTACAGCGTACACTTACAATCAAATGGTGTGTTTTTACCCTTATATAAATAATTAAAGTGTAAAAAACATATGTATATGCATATTTTTATAACATTGTATATATTTCTAAAAATAATTGGAATTCTAAATAAATCCAGTTTATCGAAATACGAAATCATGTAAACTTTCGTTACACTTCTAGTTTGCTTTATAATCGATGACATATTTCTAGCGGAATATTCATATATTTTATATTCATATATCTTAGCATCTACTACCTCCTTACCATAAAAGATATAAATATAAAACTAAGTCTTATTGATACGTATTAAAATCCATTTTTGTTTAATTACATTTTCTAGTGAACTCGAATTTGTAAATTTAGTTATTTAGTGAAATTTATTACATTACATGTTGTATGTATTATTACATGTGTATATTTATGAGGGATTTCTAAGATCTTAACTACGATCTCAATGAGTTGTTGAATGTAGTGTCTTAAAATTCTGAAGCTGTCCTTTAAAAAATTGACCTTAAGTACTCACGTAGTTACTACGCGCGTAGATACTGTGTGATATGTAAATAATAAATACACGTTGCAATTGTGTACAGTTATTTGTTAAATAAGTATATTATTTTGTTTTAGAACTGTCTTTTATTTACCTATGATGACACCCAATGATGATTATCCCATGTCGTCCCGTGGGTGTAAGAGACGACTATGCGAAATGATGGCCAACCTCATGACTTGAACTTGACATGAAATAGATGGCGTTGTATCGACCCCGAGAGAAAGTTTAAGTCGGACGTTAAATACACACCGACGCGGCGACGAGAAGCAGCGATCCAATGAGCGCATCTATGACTTTCTGCCACCAGGACGGTGCCAAGTGTGGCAACTATAGCAAAATCCACCTTATGGACAAGTCTATGTTTAGCAGTGAACTATGGAGTGAGTGGATAAGCCGTAATGAATGTAATGGAGGACGGCGCTACTTTGGAATGAGGTGCAATATTTTATAGATTATATATTTAGATATAATAGGGGAAGTTAATTTGTTAGAACAGTGTAGAGATTTTTTTTTATATGAGAGGGGGCAAATGAGCATGCGGCTGACCTGATGGTGACTACTGCTACCCATGAACAACTGCAACACCAGGGGAATTGCAGATGCGTTGCCGGCCTTTTAAAAAGGAGTATGCTCTTTACTACTCCCTAAGTCGTATCGGTCCGCAAAAATCGCTGGTGGTAATCGATTCCACAAGGAAGTTGTGCGAGGAAGAAAACTTCTAAATCGCAAAGTGGTGGACCGCCAATCATCCAGATGGTATGGATGGTATCGCGAGTTTTGTCGCGATGTGCGATGGAGAAGTTGAGCGGCTGGAATTAGTCCGAACAATTCCTCGGAGCACTAGTAAACAGAACAAGTCTGTTGTAATATGTGGAGACTTTAATATCAATCTCCTTGAAAGACTAGGGAGCCCCGGCTCAGGGATGAGAACAGTATTCCATGTTGGGCTGAACCTGCCCCTTGTAAAGTTGCAAGCAGTGTGCCGGCATAAAATACTATCGCGCTCTGTTGAGCACGCCAAGCTTTTTAGAGGCCAATTCAGCCTTGCCTTCTAAGTGACCACGAAACTGTACTTTATTCGATATGTCAACGCCAAAGATTCCGATACTGACTGAGCTAACAAGGGGAGTGCCCTGAAATAGAGGAGTTACTACTAAGGGTTCTTTTTAGTGGTAAAGGCGCAAACTTGTGCCTTCTGGGCATTGAACTTAATTAGATTTAGTCGCCCCAATTCGAGCCCCTCTATATGTAAAAACTCTACTTCAGACACAAGTTTGTTCCAGTACTCGGCGACGTTTCTCCGAGAAATATAGGCACAGCCGGTGTATAAAGCATCACCAGCGCACGTTACTGGTTTTTTTTTCCCCACAGACATTTTATATTGGTCGCACAATTTTATAAATTTTTGCACACTGAGCGTGGAGAAACAATTTACGCTATTTGATACGTAATTGTCTTCCACTCTCTATTACTTTCTATAAACTTTAGTGGCACGTAAAGCATATACAAAATCAACAACAATAAAAACTAATAGCAGTTGCAACTGCGCACTACAATTAACATAGTAACAATATAGAAATTTTACATCGGTGATTAACAATAGATACAGTAATAAAAGATAACAAAATGGCACATACATATTCTTAGTCTATAATTATAAAACAATAATAACGAAAACAAAAAGACCTTGTAAAATATTACATCTTCTTAGTCTATATAACTATAAAAAACTAGCAGATAAATTACAAAAAAAATATACAGTAATGAAAAAGAACAGAAAGACATTCTAAACCTTATATGTCTATATTCTTTGGTTTATAATTATTTTTATACCTACTTACTAATTTAATCATTGTTACTCGTACCGCTATTTACAATCTTATTAAAATTCTTTAGGTTCTTAAGTACATTTTCATTAAGTTTTATGAAGGAATGCAGAGCTGATTCCTTCCTCATCAGTTCTGTGAGTTTGTATGGCGACACTCTTAAGTTATTGCACAGTAATTCATGGTGTATTCTGTATCGGCAGAAGGCGGGGCAGTTCTCCAATAGATGTTCCAACGTCTGAACTGTGCGGTTGTCGCACGGACATTTATCGTTTTTAATGATTTTAAAACGGTGCAGATATGTTTTGTGATAACCGTGTCCGGTGAGAAATTGTGTGAGGTAGAAGTTAGTTGGAGTCAGTGTTCGTAGCCTTTCAACATCATTCAGTGTGGGAAGAATGTT